AGGTGAGGTCCGTACCTGCGAAGAAGCAGACGCGCCAGAGGCCAGCATGCAGCGCCATCTTGACCTCCGTGGTCTGGTTCTGCGGCAGCACCGTTCCCTCCTCCATGTACAGCCAATAGTCAGTGCTGACCGCGATGCCCACGAGCAGCAGGCCGCACGCGCCGAACACGCTGCTCAGCAGGGTCAGGGCGCGGCTGCTGCAGTGACTCATCCTCAGCGGCGGGGGGCGCCCTGCGGGGCCTGAGGGGCCGAAAGCTGCCGTGGAGAGCCCCGGTGGGACCGACTCGAGTCCCCAACCCCATGCAGCCTCCTGCGACCCTGCAGCTGGGCCAGAGACGTCAATTTCCAAACGGAGGTTTCTCAAATCTGACCTCTGTGTCCTGACCTAGGACCTCATCCCTGGATTTGAACGAGTGACACCAGCTGTTGACCTTCAACTTCAGGACTGGGCTTCCCAAACCTGAGACTTGTGCTCTGGCTCTAGATCCTGGTCAGAGATGCCAGTGCCAGACTCTCAACCCCAGGATAGGATTTCCAACCACAACCTTTGGCCCAGATCCAGAGGTTGAAACTTGACTCCAACAATGTGTGTGGATATGGGTCCCAAATGACCCTGACTCTGATTAGAAACTCAATTTCCAGATTCTCAACCCCAGGACCAGGCCCTCCGACCCTAACCTCACGTCCTGACCCAAGACCCTAACCCAAGACACCAGACTCCCACCAGAATCACTAACCTTGAGCCTGAGCTCATGATTCACAAACAATTATGCCGATCAGGCACTTCAACACTAGGACTAGGCAGCACCCCCACCCCTGACCTTGACTCTGTGCCCTGATCCAAGCCCTCAACCCTGAATACCAGACTCTAGCCAGGGCCCATGACCTCAACGCTGAGCCAGGGCCTAGATCTCTAGACTCTGAGCCCATCCAGTTGGTCACTGGATGCTGAGCAACATGACCTATCTAGAAACCCTAACCTTGGCTACCCAATCCTGACTCCATGTCCTGACCTGGCGCCCTGACCCCTTTCCTTTGGACTCTGTTTCTCTGAATAGCAACCACAAATCCCCAAAGTGGATCACTAGCCAAGGGCTGTAACCCCATACCCTGGTCTCAGCCCCTTGACTTCAGGCCTACCTAAGACCTTGAGCAGAGGCTCCCACCCATGTTTAAACACTCGGGCTCTTATCTTGACCCTTACCAACCAATCCTGACACCAAGACCTTGACCCACGACCTTCCAACTCTGCTCCCATGCCTTGAGCTCAATTTGGTACCCCAATCTGAGATGGTGGCCCACGACCTAGATTCAAGCTTCCAGAACCCTAATTCCCCTTGTCCGAGATCCAGGCATGTCCCTGAACCTAAGATGCTGGAACTCCATCCTAGGCTGCTGGGTCCCAGAACATTGGGACCCAGAGACCCAGAGCCAAGATTTTAGTTAGAGACACCAGAATGTCAAAACCACAATCTCAGAAGCCCCCAACTCAGCACCCTAACCGGAGCACATCGGTCAAAACAAGGGATCAGTGCTCTGAACTCTCAAATCCCAATCAAGAAGTCCAGGATCCCAACCCCTCCCCGCCCCAGGCCCCCATCACAAGATTCCCAAATTCCCTACCAGAGATTCTGGACTCCAACTCCCATGCTAGGACTTCCAATTACAGGCCCTCTTCAACATCCAGTTCAGAACCCTGATCCTTCTAATGCTGGACCCTCAAAACAAGAGATCCCTAGTTCATAGCTGTGGCCTCCCAAATTCCAATCAGGAATCTGGAGATTCCAAATAGGGAGCTCCTAATCTCTTATCCATCACCCTCACCCCCCACCAAGAACTTTTCCCTAAACCACACAATCCCATAATTTGGGGAACTCACCCAGGGATCCCCATCTTATCTCAACCAGAGACCTCTACATCCCTGAATACCAGTGATCCCCATCATTTTTTTAACTATGAAGGTTAAGACTCCTAAACACTCCCCTCATCAGTGCAGCCAAGACTTGAGACCCGACATTCCTTAACCAGAATTCTTGTGGCTTTGTAACTCTGCCCCACCCCACAAGGACCCTGGAGTCTGAGACAAACTTCACCCTCTCCCATCCCAGCATCCAATGCCCCCACCCCACCCTGCCTGGTCCCCAGCCTCCTAGAGAACTTGGGGATGGAGTCTGGCAGAGCTCCCACCGGCCTTTCCTCCCCTCCCCCTGCCCGTCCCATGGCTCCAGGGTTTGACCGCCAGCTGCCTGCTCCCCTTCCTGTCTGCTCAGCTCAGAAACAAGCATGATGAACCCTGTCACCCTGACCACCTTGGTCCCAGGTAGTGGGCCTCAGATCCCTCATTGGCTCCTCAGACTCCCAGCTGGGACCTTGCCCATTGTCACCTTTCTCACTTTCCCTTTGGTACCCCCTCCTTCCTTGCTCTGATTCCTCCTCACTCTAAATGGATCGCCTCATTCTCCTCCAGCCTCCAGCCCTTCCTCCTTTGGGACCCTCCCTCCAGGCCTGGAGCCTCCTTCTTATCCTCCTTTATTTCAGCCTCTCCTGGATTCAGGCATTCGGATCTCCGGGGTCCCATCCTCCAAGCCCCAAGTCCAAACTCCATCTCGCTTCAATCTCTTGGGATACGTACTCCCCTTTCTGGGGACCCCTTCTCAGACTCACATCCACCTTTAATCGGGTCTGGGCCCTGCCCCCTCATCCAGGACCGCCTCCCTCAAGGATCCGGCCTGCACCCTCTTCAGTGCCCACAATCTCTAAGACTGGGACATTGAGAATACAGCTGCCCCACTCCGGGACCCTCGGACCCCCTTCTCCCGGATTCCCTAGGCCCAAATGTCTCTCCATCCCCCACCGCTTCTCGAACTGGGCCGCTCTGACCGCTGGAATCCCACCCCCTCCAGAGTCACTCTGGGCCCTTGTAGCCCCAACCCCGGCTCCCAGCCACCTAGGGGGAGCCCCCACTCCTTCCAGGACCCTCCCCTCGAGCTCACCTCGCTCAGGGCTGGGCGGACGCTCCGGGCCGCGGGCCCCGCAGCCGCATGACCGGCCCCGCGGCTTCCCCCGGCCGCCGCCGCCGCCACCGGGGTCGCCGGTGCCCGCGCCCCCCGCCCCCGCCCCGGAGCCCGGCGTCCCGGCCCCCTCCCGGCCTCCCACCCCCCACCCCCCGCGCCCGCGGCCTCACTCGGCGGACGACGCCGGGAGCTGGGACCGGCGGCCGCTCATTGGCTACTGCGGAGGAGGGGAGGGGCGGGGAGGGAGGGGGGAAAGGATGCAGGGAGGGAGGGATATGGGCCTTGAGAATGGGGGAGGCAGAGCGAGAGAGAATAGAAACAGAGGCAGAGAGCCCGAGAGGGGCAGGGGCACACAGAGAGGCGGGGAGACAGAGCAGAGAATCTAGAAGCACGCCGAGACCTGGAGGCCGAGAAATTCTGAGACTCACAGGTCTGCAGACTGGAGGAGACACAGAGAGAGCCTAAAAGAGACAGAGAGAGAAAAGGAGAGACAGAGATTGGGTCTAGGACCCCCCTCCTTCCCCCAGGCTCAGAGATTCTGGGGCCCTGGAAGTGGAGAGGTCAGAGAGACAGAGGCAGAAAGAGACAGGGAGACGCTCAGAGGCCTCGGGCTGAGAGATGCTGAGATCCAGAGACCTTGAGCTGGCGAAAGAGACAGAGGGGGGAATGAGAGAGGGAGAGACCCTGAGGAGGAGAGACAGCAGGGGCAATCCTGGGGGGGTCCCCTGATGAGGACTGGGGCTCTTGCCAGGCCTGGGGCAGAGCCTGGGGTCTGGGCAGCTGGAGGAGGCGGGAGGGGGCGTCCCGGGCCGGGGTCCCTAGAGCAGCAGGCGGGCGCAGAGCGGAGCCGGGTCCTGCAGCCGCCGCGGAGCCGGGAGCCGGGCCAGCCCCCCCCCCCCCCCCCGTGATGTCAGCGGGGCCACTCTTAAAGGGCCAGGCCGCCCGCCGAGGGTCGGAGAGGGGGCTGGGGGCCGCAGGCACCAGATGGGGGGATCGCGGCGTTGTTGGGGAAGATGGGGGAAGCTCCAGCATCCAACTGGACCCAGTCCCGGAAACCCAACAGCCTCTAGGGAAGAAGAGACGCCGGGCCCCCCGGAGGGAGCCTGCGAAGATCTGGGGCTCAGTCCCCTCCAAAAACACAGACATGGGCACACCATTCTACTGGCCTGCCCATGTCCAGGGACTACATTTCCCATCAGCCCTGGCGGCTGAGGGCTGCACTTGGGGGGAAGGGTCCGTCGCTGTGTCAGCTGGGAATTGTGGTCTATTTGGGCTGTCCTCCCCACTCCCCCCACTCACAAGTGGGTCAAAGGAAAGAGGCCCCAGGGCGCGTCGGCCTGCTTTTTGCCTCCATCGCTGATTCCTAAGCTCACAGGTTCTGGTTGTTTTGGCTTCTCTGTCGTGGGGTGTCTCCCTCTGATCAAGTCTCCACGTCTCTCAACAGGAGGCTTGCCTTTCATCTTGCCTCTCAGGACTTCCCAGGCTCTGGGTCTCAGTGTGTCTATTTATTTATGTGTCTGTGAGCTTGTGTGTTGCTCTGGGTGAATATGTATGTGCTTGTGTCTCTCTGCCCGGGGTATCTACCCGACACGCTCAGTGGTCTCTGTGTACATCTCTACCTTCTGAGCGCGTGTCACTTCAGTCCTCTTTGTGGCTCTCTGCCTGTCTCTCTCTGTGGGTCTGTCTGTCTGTCTTCCTCTCGGGGTATCTGCTCTCTTGGGGTCTCTGTTCTTTCGCTCTCATGCTGCGGGTATCTTCTCTCCCTTTAGGAGCCTCTGTGCTCTCCCTCTCTCTCTGCTGCCCCCTCCCAGCCCCTGTCTCTCTCTTTCTCTGTTTGTTTCTATGTACGGTCATTGTCCCACCTCCGCACCCCCTTCATGCTCCAAGCTTAGAAGAAAACATCCAAACACGTCAGCATCAGCATCCCAAATTTATTCTCCAGCAGCTGTGGTCGGATGGGAGAGGCAAAGAGAAGAGGATGGGGGGGGGGGGGGCGGGGGGAGGGAGTCCCGAGAGCGGCAGCGTTCAGTTGGGGGTGGGGTTGGAGCAGGACTGGAGCCATGCACCTGGCAGGCGAGCAGCGATGGATTCAGGATGGAGTGTAGGACAAAAGCTGACGAGAACAATTGGGGAAGAACCCTCCATACATCCCAGGAATCCCCAGAGCGTGGAAGAGGGGCACTGGAGCACGGGGGCACAGCCTCCCACTTACTCCAGAAAGGAGTGGGGTGCGCGGGGCCTCGGGGATGGGCGGGCCCTCGAAGGTGGGGGGTTGTTCTGGAATCCGAGTCTGGAAAAGCCCACCCCAGGAGACTGTTTCCCAGGAAGAAAAAAGAAGGAGAGGTATAGATTCTACCAAGATGGTGTCTAGAACCCCATGGAGGTGAGGTGGTGGTGGTGGTGGTTCTGGAAGCTGGTGGAGGCGGAGTCCAGAACTCCGAGATGGGTGAGAATCTAGGGCTCAGAGCAGCAGAATCTAGAACACGGTAAGGCTCTAGAGACTGTACGGAGGTTAGACTGCCAGGAACGCTTGAGGGCGAGGGGGGCATCTAGCGTCCACGGGGCAGAGGCCAGAAGGCTGGGGAGCAAGATCTGGGAAGGGGGTAGTGAGTCGGAGCCGAGGCTGGCGCGGCGGAGGGAGCCATGGGGACACCTAGTGGCGGCAGGTGAGATTACATGACTGGCACCGGCGTCGGGCTGATGGGGCTGCGCGCATCCGGGTGCACAAAATCCGGGTTAACGTAGGTGAAGCCTTGGAAATCTGCCTGGTCGATGCTGGCCAGAACTAGGCGGTCTGGAGGGGTCAGCGCTGGCGCGGCCCGTGTGAAGAACTTGTCGAAGTTCTCCCCGCTGCGGCCGCACTGTGGGAAACGCCGGGAGGAAGACATGAAATTCTGCCCGCTCCTTCGGTGTGCGCCTAGCCTGTATCCATCTCCCGTCTGCCTTAGAACCTCTGCACATCCTTCGTGGCCTCGGCACCTCCCCTGAGGGAGGGACCCCTCCCACCTCCACACACAGGGATTGGAGCTTCTGAGTCCCACCCCGTAGGGACCCAGGTTTTGTTCCGAAAGGTGACTGACCGGGCGGGGTCTGAATGGAGGCGCGATCTCCAATCGTTCCAGCCGCTCCCAGTCGATCCAGCGGAAAAAGCCGTGAGCACGGATGGTGGGTTCCCCGTCTGGGCCTGAGCCCAGGCGCTTGGCGGGGTGCTTGGTTAGGAACTGTGAGAAACACAGAGAGAGACGGACGGACAGACAGAGCCCCGGACAGGGAGGCCCAGAGAACGAGAAAGAGAGGGAAAGACAAGAACAGAGGGACACGAGCATAGAGATGCAGAGAGAAGAATGGCAGGGGGAAGAGCGAGGGGGAGGGAGGGGGAAGAAGGAAGGGAGAGAGGAATAGGGAAGATAAATGAGATGGGATGGATGAAATCCAAACCCAGAGACCCAGGGACGGATCGAGAAAGAGAAAATCAGAGTGAGAGGGTAAGAGGGGCAAAGAAACCCAGAAAGAGAGGAAGAGGACAAGGGCAGAATCCCAGAGTGGGATGGAGGGAGGGAGGGAAATTGAAAGAGAGAGACAGACAGAGAGAGATTGAGAGGTTGGAGACCCAGAGAAAAAGGGGAATAGAGATCCAGAGAGAGGAGGAGATTGGGCGGTCAGGGACAGACAGAGCCCAGAAAGAGGAGGAAGACCCAGGAGACCAACACCCAGAGAAAAGGATAGAGACCAAATGTGTAGACAGAGACTCAGAGAAAGGGGAAGACAGACACCCAGAAAGAAAGGAGGAGAGAAATCCCCAGAGCGGAGGACAGATCCAGAGAGCATGTATATGGGAGTGGTGGGGGAAAGTAACAGAGACCCAGAGAGAGAGGGACAAAGATGCCAAAGGTGGGCAGAGACCCCGAATTACACAGAGAGAAGGTCGAGACACAGAAAGCCCCATCATATGTAGATGGAGGCAGAGAGATGAGACAGAAACCCAGAGAGAGACAGTCAGAGAGACATGGAGACAGGCGCTAGAAGCAGAAGTGCGCTAACATCTGTTGAAAAGCTGCTGTTGGCTAGGCTCTTTCTCCCGCACTTACTCCGTAACCCCAGGACTTCCGCAGGACCTGCCCCATTTGGGAGGGGTGGCCCTGGCCTCCCAGCACTTCCTGCAGTGAGCCAGGGAGAGGGGCCAGCAGAGGAGGATGAGATAGAGGCCACCCTTGGACGGGAGGTGGCAGCAGGGCAGTAAATTATTGTTCTAACAAAATCTCTGTATTATATAAATTTTTCCAGCAGATGGAAGTAAGGTGACTTGAGGAGTGGAAGCCTTTTTCTACTGTGCACAGAGACACTGTGTGGGAAGGCCTGGGGGCATGAGTTAGGAGTCTGGAGAATCTGGGCGTCAGCGGGGGTCTTACCCCCTTGCAGATGGCCACGGCTTCCCGGGAAAGCGACTTGGGGTAGGTGACAGTTTGTTCCATGATGGCCTGAAACAGCTCCTCCTCATCCTCCCCATCGAAGGGGGGCTAAGGAAGTGGAAGGGATAAAGAGTCAGAGACTTGACTAACTGCCTCTCCTGACCTTCCCACCATAAACACAACGCCCACCCTCCCCTCCCAACTCCGCAACTTCCAAGGGAAAAATTTGGCCAAGCCACTAAAGGTTTATCTTCCTCCCTCTCAGACTCTCTTGTTTCCTATCTCAGATGCTTCAGCTCTCTGTACCTCTTTACTATTCCGTCTTTCTTTATCTGCTATGTAAATCAGTAGGGTGTTAATTAGGCAATATGTCGTTTAAATAGAAGAGAGAAAAAAACTGCAGGAAAACTGTGAAAGCATTCTGGTTAGAGGAGTGGCCTCTAGTCTTCTGGGATTAGGAAAAGCAATACCAAGGCAAGGATTCTCAATGTGGCGTCTATAGAGGGAGTCTGTTCATACAACTGAGGGGGTCCATGAACTTGGATGGGGAAAAAAATGCACCTGATTGTTCTTAAAAACCTCTAACTTAAATTTAGCATTCTCTTCGGTTATGAATGGAGGCAACAAACCACAATAACGGGACTTGTGGCTTCAACACCAATAGAAATCACAGATATTTTCTTATCACATTAGAGTTGCAGATATCTCAAAAGACCAGTCATCTCTGCTTCAGAATTCCTGGCAGACCTCCCTATTTACTTCCTAATACTGTGAAGTGTTACTATTTAATTTATTAATAGGAAGTCACATATATGTCCACATCCCAATGTTTAATATTTAGACAACTGTATACAGTGAAGTTAAATTTTAGTTGGTTAAGTTAATTCAATTAAAATTTTAAAGGTTTGATAACCATATTTCAATATGATTGATTTCTTTTGTAATCTTAGTATTTTATTTCGTGCATTTGAAAATATTGTTCTGAGAAGGGGTCCGCGGCGCAAAAAAAAAAGATGAAGAACTTCTGGCCCGTGCGAAGATAATGCTTCAGGACGACGGACAGTGCTACCCAGGGGGGGATCTCCCACCGCTTAGCACATCTCAATAGACTATAGACTTTCCTTCCTAGCCAGCTCCTCCCCATATGCAAGCCACCTAACAGGTGGCGCCCCGCTCCGCATTGCCTTGAGCCAATACAGCTTCTCAGCTTCCCTTACCTGTCCCGCCAACATCTCATACAACAGAACCCCAAAGGACCACCAATCCACAGACTTCCCATAGGGCTGGTAGGCAATGATCTGGCCGGGGAGGATGGAAGGCAAGGAATCATGATTAGTGCTTTAAGAAGCCTAAGGCCCCTCTGGCCTAACCCACTGGGAGCCCTACCCATTTCAAGTGTTCTCAGCACAAACTCTTCCCACTCAGAATACTTTGGTCAGAGCTCCATCCTTTAGAAAATTATGGAAACAAACTTTTACCTGCTTAGAACATTCTTTTGGTCCCTAATATAAAGACTATCTAAGGGCCAAGTCACAAGTTCCACCCATCTATAATATTTAGGTAACTGGACCCTCTCCTAATAATATCGGGTGCATAGGGCAAAATTTCAGAGACCAGAGATTCTTGAATCTGGATGCATTTCAGATTCAGCTAGGGTGCTGTTTAAAAATAGATGTTCCCAGCCCAGAAGAATTCCAGCCTCAATAGGCCAGAGTCAGAGTCAGGAAAATGTGTATATTTTTCAAAATCTCCCCAGGTGATTCTGAGTCCCAGCCAGGTTTTGAAACCATTGACATTGATTACTCGGGCACTACCATTGTACCACCTGGAAAGATCCAGGACGGCATCACCACCACCACCTCCTCCTTCAACTGAGACAAGTCGGGACACATTCTCTCTCTACTTAGATACAGTCAGATCATTAGCTCTATCTACTTAAAGTCAAGCGCATACTCCGCCTACTTGGAAAATTCAGGAGACAGCCTCCACACGCTTAATGTTCTCGAAGGACGGGCCCCACCCACTCAGAGTACCCTGGAAATCGTTCTCCATCTTCTTAGAATAGTCCCACAACAGGCCCTGTTCTCTTCGAATTCCTACGATGTGGTCCGTCTCTTTAGAACGTTCACCCACAAGTCCCGCCCACTTTGCCTATTTAGAGACCCAGCTCCGCCCACTTGCAACGCTCTGCGCAGGGGCCTCTCTGCGCTGCTCGCCTTTAGAACGCCCACGACTCACGTAAAGACCCCAGGGTCAGCCCCGCACCCCCATTGTGAATACTAAACAACCAACTATACCCACTCAGCGAACTTGGAGCGTGCCAAGAGCAGCGGAGTTAGGGTTACCTCGGGGGCTATGTAGTCTGGGGTCCCGCAGAAGGTGCGGGTGGTGGTCCCGGGGAAGACATTCTCCTTACACATGCCAAAGTCAGTGATTTTGATATGTCCTTCGGCATCCAGCATCACGTTGTCCAGTTTCAGGTCCCTGGGGGTGAAGTGGGGTCGGGTGGGTAGGAATTGCAGGAAGGGTTGAGTTCAGCCTGCTGGAGCCATCAGTTCAAATCCCTTGCCCTCTAAGGACCTGATTCTCTGAATTGAAAGGCCTGGGACTGCTCACCGGTAAATGATGCCCTGATTGTGAAGGAAGAAGAGGCCGATGGCAATTTCCGCTGCATAGAACCTGGAAGAGGGCGTGGCGAGTCAGAAGGTGCAAGGATGGACCCCATCCCCTTCCACCTTCCAGCCTCCACTCTCGGCCGAGACTCACGCCGCGTGGGGCTCCTTAAACTTGCCCAACTGCTGGATGTGGTACATCAAGTCGCCCCCGGTGACATACTCCATCACAAAATACAGGCGATCCTGCGGAGGAGTGGGCGGGGCTTAGAGGAGAGGACACGCCCACCAGGGCGTGGAAACCATCCATTTCTGCCCACTCCAGACAAACGTGGAAGGCTCCAGATAGACCCAAACACCAACCCAGAGCAACTGGCCATGCCCACCTGGAAGACCCAAAGATTCTCACCTGGCCATCTCAGAATCTCGACTGGCTCCATCCCCCGTTAGTACAAACTATCAAGCGTTCTGGTGCCCCCCTCTCTGAATTGAACACTGAGGCCCACCCACCATGCATTCGAAATCCCGGGAATACCAAAACCTCTTTCCACACTCGCTCACACATATGCTATCCTAGCCACCTATTAGGAAAGAGACAGCTGTTCAGGCCTCACGTGCAATTGATAACAGTAATTTTTTTAAAATCCGGGAAGCTGGTGACGCCCTTTCAGAGCTCTTGGAAGTCGTCACGCCCTCTCAAACCCTTGACGCTTCTGACTCCTTGTTGCGTTCCACAATCTTGGGGAAACGCCCCGTTCTTCACTCAGAATCCGAGTGACGACCTTGTCACTCGGAGCCCAATTGTAGGCACGCCCACTCAGGAGACATTCTCCTCCACGCCCTCCTTTACGCAAAAATCCTTTACTCGAAAAACACCCACTCAAGACCAAGCTGTTTCGAGCCACGCCCACTCAGGATCCCAGCCTTGTGGCCACGCCCCTCCAGAGCACCTGCATTGTGGCCACGCCCACTGAGGCGCCCGTCCCTCTGGCCACGCCCAATCAGAGTGCATATGGTTCTTTTGCTTTGCCATAAACTCGGAATTTCGAAGCAGATGCCTCATCCATCGCGGGGGTCGGGATGGAGGTTGGGGGGGGGGCGTGGGCGTGGAGACAGGGCTCCAGAGCCTTACCGGGGTCTGGAAGGTGGAGTGGAGCTGGGTGAGAAAGTGGGGCCGGCCTCCCGGGCCTCGGCCCCCGAGGGCCAGCACGCGTTTTTCCACCAGGGTGCAGTCCACGTCGTCATCCTGGACGATCACGTCTTTCTTCAGGATCTTGATGGCGTAGAGCTCATCAGAGCCCCTGCGCTCAGCCAGCATCACCTAGGACAGGGGCCCGAAAGGCCTGGTCCGTCTGGGGAACCCAGGATGCAGGTCCCTGCCCCTCCCTTTCGGGGACACAGAGAAACAGAATCGCAGGTCCTTCCTCTCTTTCTCAAGGGACCAGACGCCCTGACTTTGCCAACCAGCCCCTCGGGGAAAGTATCCGCATCTTTATGCCTCTCCTCCCCTGGGAGCCCAGGGGCCCCATCAAACCCTCTTTGGGGACTCAGTGGCCCTGTGCCCCTCCCTCCGCACCTCTTCCCTAAGGACCAGAAACCTGATCTCCCCCTAGACATCCTCCCCTTCCCCCAGAGGCCCGCAATCCAACCTTCCCAAAACTGCCTTTTCCTAGAACCATGAGGAAGCTGAAGTCAGAGATGTGCAGACGTCCAGGGCTTGCCCCGAAGAAACAGCGCTTGGAGTCCGTGGGACTAGGGGATGGGGAGGGGATGGGAGAGGAGGACGGCCCCATCCGCACCCGCTGTGAGAAAGAGGAAAGATCCGAGACAGTCAGACCCCAGCCGGGGGTTAGGAGATGCCCCTCAGAGAAACAGCGTCCAAGAATCAAAGGGATGGGGCGAGACGAGAGGTGGGGAGATGGGGAGGAAAAAAATATTGTCCCTGCCCCTCTCCTTGGCTCCAGAACTTTCTGTGACTTCCCAAAGCTTGGAGGGTTTATTTATTATATAACTTAGATAGCTTACTACATGCCACTAATCTTCTGAAAAACCCTGTTATCACCCCCTGTGCTAGAGAAGAGGAAATTGGCACAGAGACATTAAGTAACTTGCCCAAAGTCACACAGCAGGTAAAAAGCAGAGCCAGAAATAAAAAATTGTTTAAAGCCAGGGACTGTGTCTCCCTCCTTTCTGTTTCTCCACCATCACCCAGCACATGACTTGGAACACAACAGATCTCAGCAAAAGGGTGTTTAATGCATGAAGGTCTCAAGTGCTGAATGCACTTACTAATGCTCAACCTTCAGAGCATTCCAGAATATGAACACCTTTACTACCATTGTCCTCCTGGGCCAAGCCACAAGCTACTCCCACCTGAGTCTTCACAATGGCCTTCTTCCTTTTCCACTGTCTACCATCTATTCTCTACAGAGGAGTCGTCTTGTTCAAATATAATCATCGCAGGCCACCTCTGACACCCTCCCACCTCACACCCTTAAAAGCCATAATCCTTCCAATAACTGACAAGGCACCCTCTTCCCTCTCAGACTTCATCTCCTACTTCTCCCCACACCATGCCCCTCAGTTCCAGCCTCACTGTCCTCCTGCTGTGCCGCAGATACTCCCAGCCTGCTCCCACCTCAGGGCCTTTGCACGTGCTCTTCCCTCTGCCTGGAAGTCTCTCCTCCACTATCCTCATGGCTCACTCTCTCACCTCCTTTATGTCTTTGCCCCGTGGTTGCTTTGTCAGTGAAGCCTTCCCTGCTTACTGCAGTTAAAACAGCAAACACTTCCCCAACAGCACTCCCTGTCCTCTTTAATATTTATTTTTCTCCATATCGCTCATCGCCCTCTAACATATTATCATTGACTTCACTTTGTTTAACGTTTCCCCCTGAAGGTAAGCCCCATGAGGGTGGGAATTTTTTTTTTCTGTCTTGTTCGCTGCAACATCGCCAGTAATTAGAACCACGCCTTGCACACAGAGGGGCTCCACAGAACAGTTTTGGAAAGAATAAGTGAGGGAGAGAGCATGCCGTGTTTTGGCCTGAAAATCCAGCCTCCGTCTCCTCTGCCTGAGGAATCCTGGCCTTCCTCCATGGCTCCCATCTGTGGGAAGCTTTCTCTGACTCCCCCAGGCTCTGCCAGGTGCTTCGGGACTCCTTCCTGCCTGAGGCAACCTCCATTATCAAACACATTCCTTCTGGAGGTGAAAGTCTTTATCTATAACTCTCTCCTACGGTGAGAGAGAAGCTCCCTGGGGAATGGCCTGTTTCCACTCCCAGAACAGGGCATGGTTTCTGTGACACCTCAGGAAACAAGTGTTCCGTAAGTGAGAAAATGAACGGAGGAGAGAAAGGCCACAGTGATACGTAGACAGAAAAACTCAGAGAGCAATTCAGGTGCCACCTCCTCAGGGAAGTCCTCCCTGACTACCTCCCCCACAGGCTGGTTAGTGCCTCCTCTACGCTTCTTCAGTGTCCCGGGCTACCTCTAATTCAGCACATCATCCTGGAATTCAAGTATCCGTGACTGTGTCCCTACCTTGGGGAGTTGCCTGAGGGTCAGATTCACAAGACCGGCTGCCAAGTGTGTACTCAGCCCATGTGTGCGGGGATGAAGACAAACATCAGGGGAGGGAGATGTGGAGAGAGAGAGATCACAGGAATGTGTCTCCATTCCAGGCCTCATCGCTACTCACCTCATACAGTTCCAGGGGGTAGTTACAGGCCTGGCAGAGAAGAAAGCCAGAGTCAGAGCCCCTGGAGGGGTAGGAGATTGCCCTGGAGCACAGGGTGGGCACCCACAATACCCCCCAAGCCATGGGGATGGTTAGGAACTCTAATTCCCATCAGACCTTGGGGCAGGAGTCCCCTAGAAATGCAGAGGAAGGGGCCCCAGGGTTTTCTGGGAATTGTAGTCCTAGGACCAGGGGGGCAGCCAGAGTGTAGGGAAAGACCAGCTCTGAACTGTAAGAGGCTGGGCTGGGCTCCCCTGGGGAAGCTGGGGTCTGGGTACCTCAAACTTCTGGAGGAGGCTGCAGTTGTCAGCATCAGCCACCGGCACATTGTAATATTCGCCCTCCTCCTGGTTCAGTAACTTGTACCTGACATACAGACGGAGACCAGAGCAGGGCAAGAGTTGGGGAGATGTGTGGGGCGGGGGGGTACCCGTCGGACAAGCAAAGACATCAGAAGCAGGGAAAGAGACACAGAGAGACAGACACAGAGACGGAGAGAGAAGAAGTGAGATAAGGAGGGGGAGGAGGGGGAGGAGAGACAGAGGGTCCGGGGAGAAAGAAGCGCAGGGAGGCAGAGAGAATGACAGTGGCCTAGAGGAGAGAGACCACACGCAGACGGGGATGGAGACGCCCGGCCCCGCCCCCCGCCCCGCCCCGTCCCCGCCCCCACCAGCCGTCCACCGGCGCCTTGAGCAGCTCCGAGACGCCGAAGGACATGGCACCCATGAAGTCGTTGCGGGAAGTCCGGTCCCAGTCCCACACCTCGACGCTGAGCCTGCGCTCCACATCCCCCGGCTTCAGGTTGCTGCGGGAAGGGTGGGGCGCAGTGAGGGGCTCGGCTCCTGGCTCCCCCCACCTCCCCATCCTTGGTGCTGGAGGAGGAGGCAAACCCCGGGACTTGGGGTCTGCTTCCTGCTCTGTAAGGTGGCTTCCCACCTCTGAGCCTCCCCGATATCCGGCCCTAAGGAAACCGAGACAGCTCGCTCTCTGTCTCTCTCTCTTCCTCCCACTTTCTTGGCCCCTTCCCATCCCTGTCTTCTCTCCAGATCTCTCTCCCACTCTGAAACTATGTCCCTCTCCTTCCTCCGGGTCTCTGTCCTTCTGTCTTCCTGTCAGTTGGCTTCTCTTTCTCTCACTGCCACCCATCCGCCACACCACCACCCTTCTGCTCGCAACCGCCTCCCCCCACCCCCATTTCCTTTGTGTCTCTTCTTCTGAGACTCTCTCTTCCATCTCTCTTACTCTGAAGTGGTGGGCTTTGATGGAGATTAAATACAGACCAGTCTGTCTGTCTCTCAGCTTCTGTATCTCTGTTCCTCTCCCTCAGTCACTCCATTCCCTTCTCCCACTACCCTTTTCTGCCCTTTTTTGAGTTCTCTCTATCCTAACCCCTCCCACCAGCTGCTCTCTGAGGTCTTGTGGGCCGCCAGGACCCTCAGATCATTCTCTGTCAGCCATCACAGCCTCCCCTGCACCCGAGGCTCACAACACAAAGGTCTCGTTCCACACGGGGTTTAGCGTGGCTTTCACCGTCCGGGTCTTCTGTTTTGTCAAGTTCCGAGGGTCTGGGATGAGCTTCAGTTTCACATAGGGATCAGACAGACCATTGGGGTCCATGGGGATGAGGTTACGGGCCTCACCAACTGAAGGGAGGGAGGCGAAGGAGGGCGGATGGGGTTAGAGACCCAGGAAGACGCCCCCCATCCTTCCCCAGGCAGCAATCAAGAATTCCAAGCTCTCAGCCTCCTTTCTTACGAGCCAGGTCATGAGACCCTCTCCAGGACCCGGAAGACAGGGCATACAGCCCTTTCCTCAGCGACCCAGACCCACAGCCCCTTCCTCCGTTAGGACCCAGGAGTCAGGATCCTGGCCATATCACCCGTAGTTACCCCGAAGCAGGTCTTCCCTCGTCCCTCCCTCTCAAGGACCTAGGTGCCTAGAATGGCCATTAAGAGGCGCTGCTAGTGGCAAGGGGGCCACGCTGGGGCTTCCAGATAGAAGGGGCGTGGCCAGGTGGTGCTCAGTCTTTGCAGGTGGGGTCAGGGATGTGGGCGTGACCTCCAAGAGGGGCGTGGCCTTCCCGTCTTGAGGGGCGGGGCAGGGTCGCGCTGGGGAATTCAATCAGCCCAGCGCTCTGGGGTGAAAGGGCGGGGCCTCACCCGTGACGTGAATCTCATCGGCAGTCGGAGCCCGGATTTCCAGCTGCAGGCGCCCGCGGCGCTCCGTGTGGTCCACGCCGCACAGAGAGGGCACGCTGCGCACACAGCGCCGGTGCACGTTCATCTCGCAGCCTGGGCGGATAAAACTGAGGGTAGTGCTTCAGGCCCCGGCCCCGACCCCAGATTCCATCTCCCAGCATTGCCCGAAACCCAGACACTGCGCTTTTGAAGGGACCCGCAGACTCACAGGAGCATTTCATGCCCTGGTGCACCAGCCCGTAAAGCAGGGAGCCACAGTGGTCGCAGAAGGTGGGGCTGCTGTAGCTGTGCAGACGGAACTTGTGCTTGTTCCGGGGATCCTGGGGGCAGAGAAGCGTGGGTCAGAGGGAGTCGGGAGGGAAGTCCTAGAACCCTGGGAGAGCAACCCTTGAACTCTTCCTCCTTCCACCTTGCTCTCCCAGTCTTCCTGCTGTTCCACCTCACTCACGCTACAGTATTGATTGAGCACCTGCTGCGTGCCAGGCACTGTGCTTGGTGCTGGGACCAGCCGTGAACAGAACAAATAAAAACTCCCATCCACATGAATTTTAGTTTCTAGTTTGAAATAGAGTGATCAGGGAGGCATCACTAACAAGGTGGCATTTGGGAAGAACCTGAAGGAGGTGGGGGCTTCTAAGGTCCCATAGTCCCTACTCCTACCCACTTCCCATAAGCTGTTCTCCCAGAACTTGTTGTGGGCCACTATGAACCCCAGATCGTTTACTGTCAGCCTCGGTCCATATCTGCCTCTTGATGATCTGCCTTCTCTGAGCCCCTTGTAGGATGGAGAATCTAATGTCTCAGTTAGAGGGCCCGAGGAGTCCTAAAGGAAAGTTTTAAGTGTAAACCGAATAGCAGGGCCTGGCATGTTAAATGTGCTTGGTGCTGTTACTCCTACTGCTGTGGTTACTATTAGTGATTTTATTGCAGTCCCCACATAGCCCCGGGTTTAAATAAGAGTTAGGCCATTTCCCAGCTGTGTGACTTGGGGCAAGTTAGCGCCTAGTTTTGAGCCTCGGCATCCTCCTCTGCCCAGTGGAAATAAACAATCTATATCTTGAAGCAATGTGAAATGTCCAGAGTGCAACTAAGCATGAATTTAGGACACCAGCAAAGCATTCCTCTCTCCACACCCCCGCCTCCTGCAATGTCTGATTGTCAAATAATTTGACATTTGCCTTTTTCGAAGAATGCCTTGCAAGAGTCATGCTGGGGTGAACATTCAGGACATCCTTGGACTTTTGCTTATTTTGCAGTTTAGTGGGGATTCCGTTTCGAGTTATACTTGGGTGGGGGCAGGTGTGGCCATTGCCATGATCTCTTTCAGTGCTCTGGGCCCCTAAATATCATCAGCTGACCCTAACGCACAGGGTGCCTGCCGTCTAAATGAGATACTGTGTGTGAAGGCCGGCAGCGGGGGGCCTGACACACAAGCGCTCCACGATGAGAGGCTGACATTATTATTCTCAAGGTGAAAGTCACTATCAAAAAGGAGACAGTACTGGGGCTCCCATTAGATAGACCAGGGTCCACGTTTTGACTCTGCCCACTACCAAGCTGTGTGGCCTCCCAGACACCATCCCTTTCAGAGACTCCAGCTTCCTCCCTATCAAATGGGGCCATGAGCCCTCCCTGAAAGTATCTTGCAAAGACGAAATGAAATCAGGCTTGTCGAACCCTTACCCTTCTTCTTCTTCTTTTTTTTTTGAGGAAGATTAGCCCTGAGCTAACATCCGCCAGCAATCCTCCTCTTTTTGCTGAGGAAGATTGGCCCTGAGCTAACATTTGTGCCCACCTTCCTCTACTTTATATGTGGGACTCCTGCCACAGCATGGCTTACCAAGCGGTGTGTAGGTCCACACCTGGGATCTGAACTGGCAAACCCCAGGCCACCAAAGCAGAAGGTGCGAACTTAACTGCTACACCACGGGGCAGTCCCCAAGCCCTTACCCTTCTTAAGCTCTTGATCCGTGTTCCTTACAACAAGATCAAAAGCATTAGGAAAAGGGACGGCCCAGTGGCGCAGCAGTTAAGTTCGCATGTTCCGCTTTGGTGGCCTGGGGTTTGCTGGTTCAGATCCCAGATGTGGACATGGCACCGCTTGGCAAGCCATGCTGTGGCAGGAGTCCCACATATAAAATAGAGGAAGATGGGCACAGATGTTAGCTCAGGGCCAATCTTCCTCAGCAAAAAGAGGAGGATTGGCGGCAGATGTTAGCTCAGGGCTAATCTTCCTCAAAAAAAAAAAAAAGCATTAGGAAGAAAAAAAAGAGCCAGAGTGATGGGGAGGAAAGCCCCCCTCCGCATCATTCACCTCTGTCTCCTCATCAGAATATGAATACTTTTACAATGATAATCATTAATATTTTGTCTCTTGCTATGTACCAGGTACCGTCCCAAGTATTTGACTCATTTAGTCCTGAAGTCAGTCCTATAAGATGGGCATGGTTATCAACCCCATTTTGCAGATGAGGAGCTCAAGAAGCACAGAGAGGTAAGTTAACCTCCTGAAGGTCAGAGAACCCAGGCGTGGTGCAGCTGGGGTTCAAGCACAAGTGTCCTGGGTCGGGAGCCTCGGCTCAGATGGGGACAGGAACGATACCCAACCTTATACACTGTTGTGCGATTCAATCTTGTACTGGATACAAGATATCTGACGACTGTGCGCAATGCGCGCTGGCTAAGTGGGAAGGAGAGTTGGTGGTGGAGGCGGGCAGCTGAGACGGCCAATCGGTAACATATATAGGCGCTGGTAGACAGTGGTGCTCAATATATGTTCTATGAAGACACCTCCTCTATGTAAACTTCAATTTTCTTCACCTGTCAAGCTGTCAAAATGCCTCAAGGACTCTGTGGATCTCTCTCTCCTCTCTCTGTCTCTCTGACGCGATTTCTCTCTCTGCCTCTTTCTCCATCTGCTTCTAATCAAGCCATCTCCAACCCTGTGCGCAACCCCTGACTCAAAGCCGCTTAGCCTGCCTGACTTCACTGAACTGTCAAAACAAGCCTGGGGATGTCTAGATAGATGCTGCTCCGGCCCATACAGTAGCCACTCACCACATGTGCTATTGACATTGAAATCAGTTCAAATTAAATGGAATTTAGATTTTCATCCTCAGTCACAGGAGCCCTCTCTCAGAGACTATGTTCCATCATTGCAGAAAGTTCTATTGGTCAATGCTAGATGGTCAGCCCCATTTTACAGAGGGGGAAACTGAGGCTCAGAGAGAAGAGTCCTAGGGCCAGAGAGAAAGTGAAGGAGGGATCAGGGCTGCACACCCAGGGTTGACTGTTCTTATAATCCCCTGATGTGGGGGGGATTGAGTGTATCTGTATGTGTGCACATGGGGGAATCTGTATATGCATGTGTGTGTGCACATGGAATCTATGTGCACACGTGTGTGCACATGGGTCTGTATATATGCATGTGTGTGCATGCATGGGGGTCTGTATATGCACATGGGTGTGTGTGTGCACATGGAATCTGTGTGTGCACATGTGTGGGCATGGGGGTCTGTGTATGCACATGTGTGTACACGGGGGTCTATATATATGCATGTGTGTGCATGCATGGGGGATCTGTATATGCACATGGGTGTGTGTGTGCACATGGAATCTGTATGTGCCCGCGTGTGTGCATGGGGACCTGTATATATACACACGTGTGCATGCATGGGGGTCTGTATATGCACATGTGTGTGCATGAATGGGGTCTGTATATGCACATGGGTGTGTGTGTGAACGGAGATCTCTATATGCACATGTGTGTGTGCATGTGCATTGCAGGATCTCTCTGGGCCCCCCCTTCTCAGCACCTCCTAAGCCTTTTTCCAGATCCACCATTTTCTATTCTAGTCTCTCTCTCCGGGAATCTGCACCTCTGTCTCTCTGAGTTTCTCTATCACTCTCTCAGTGTCTCTGGGTCCCTTTTTCCTTCCTCTTGTGTCACTGTCTCTGTTCCATTCCTCTCTCTCTGCTTTGATCTCTCTGCCTGTGTCTCTATCTTTCTTTGCATCTCTGAGATTTTTTTCCCATCTTATCTCGAGATCTCATTGCCTACATCAATATTTCTCTCTCTCTCACTCTGTCCCTCAGCTCTCTGTTTTTTAAATCTCTTGACTTCTGGATCACAGAGCACCCCCTCCAGTGCCGGTCTTTGGTCCCCTCATCCCTGCTTCCTCTCTGTCCCCCACCTGCGGCCCCAGCCTGCCTCAGTCCCCTCTCACTCCCCCTTTCCAGGCCAAGGGCAGGGAATCTGGGCCAGCCTAGCTCCCCCTATCTCTCCAGCCCCCCTCCCCTCCCAGCCTCAAAAATAGCAGGAGAAATTGGGACGGACGCCGAGGGGGTGAGGGCGGGGGCGCGGCCCGAGGAGGAAGAACCAGGTGTCCGAGCACTCACGTCCGTCTGGGGGCCCTTCCCAGCGCCTGGACACTCGAAGGTCACAAATTCGTGGCATCGTCGATGAACCACAAAGCTGCAGACTGAAGGTGAGAATCATAGAGAAGCAGAGACAGAGAGAGACCCCAACAGACAGAAAATCAGAAAGAAAGAGAGAAACCCCAACAGACAGAAAAGCAGAAATAGAGGGACCCTGACACAGACAGAGTTCAATAGACAGAAAATCAAAGGAGAGACCTCAACACAGAGAGAGAGAGAGAGAGAGACCAGGGGACAGGAATTCAAGAGACAGACCCAAAGAAAGACAGAAACAGAGACGCAGAGAAACAGAGAGAAACACAGAGCACAGAGAGCTCAATGCATACACACAGCCAAAGGGAGACAGAGAGAAAGAAGCAGAGACAGAGAAAGACAAAGAGACAGAGAGACAGAGAGAGCGAGACAGAGAAAGAGAGAGACAGAGAGAGACAGAGACAGAGAGACAGAGAGAAAACAGGATCCCATTGACAAATGCAGATCCACAGACAGAGATAAGAAAGCGAGAAGGAGAGAGGCAGGCAGACTTGCAGAGACAAAACACAGAGAGATGTCCTCTGACAGAAGCGAGAGAGAGCAGCAACTTGGGCAGAAGTGAGCCTGGGGGCGCCCTGCCGGCCCGCCTTCCTCCCTGACTCACTCTGTTCTCAGCAGTAGCAGCTGTTGCTTTAGGAGTCGCCCCCCTCTCCCGCCCCCCATAACTGCCACCCTGCCTGGCCCCCACCTGCCCATTGGTGACCCCGCCCTGGCCTGCCCCTGCCTAGGACAGTCGGTGTTGTCATGGCGACAGGAGCCTGGGGTGGGGGGGGCTCTGACTTTGCATCTCCAGCCCCCCCCTTCAGCTCCCCTTTTCCAAATCTCCCTGTTCCCATGGCAACAGATTCTCCAAATATCTGTCCCCACCTGGAGCCGGCCGAGGGAGGGGCCCCCAGCACCACCTCCGCGGTGGCCCCGCCGTCAGAGCTCCCTCCCCACCACAGGCTGTGTCTCTGCCACACCCCCCGCCCAGGGCTCCCCCGCGCCTCTCTGGGGACCAGAGAACACGTGTGTCAAGCCTCCCCAGCTGTGGGGCCCCAGCCTCCCCCCTCCTCAGGGTCCCAGGAGTCCAGGTCCTCAGCTCTTACCTTGACATTGCAGGCCCTGTTTTCCAATGCCCCTGCAAGAGTCAAGGATCTGAGGTCAGTGGGAAAAAGGGTACCTGGACCCCTCACCTCTGCCAGCCGTAGGAGGCAAGTGTCCTTCAACACTCGTCCCACAGGACCTGGCAGTCTGAGACCCAGCTGCCTCTTCCTTCTAGAACCCAGAAAGGGGCCCCCCAGCCCCTCCTCCCTCAGACCCAGGAGCCCTGGACCCCAGCCCCTCCTCCCTCTGACTCAGGAGTCCAGGTCCCCAGCCCCCTCCTACCCTAGAACCAGGAGCCAGGGCTGCAGCCCCCTCTTCCCTCATCACTCAGGGGTCTGGCATGACAGGGGTCTCTACCCATCGTCCCGTCGTCCCTCAGGCCCCCAGCCCCGTTCCCTCACCAGATGAAGTCGGTGCAGTGGCTGCAGAAGGTTGGCTGCTTGAAGAAGCGAGCGGTGAACTTGTGGCTCTTGACTTCGTGGACCACCTTCTGCCTCAGAGCCCCCTTTCTGCAAAACAGGGGTCGGGGTCCCCCCTCCGAATCGCCTCCGCCAGGGCCGAGGCCTGACATGGCCCCAGGAACGTCGCAGGGACCAGGATCCTGCCTTTCTCAGGGAACAGGTGGAAGGACGAAGGAGCCGGAGACTCAGGAGAGCGAATGAGCCCCCGGGAGATTCCGGGGTGGGAAGGAGAGGGGCGAGGCACCTCCAGGAGCGGAGCGCGCGGGCCAGGGAGCGGCAGCCCGGGGCGCGCCCGCTCCGCCAGGGGGAGCGGGCAAGTGGGGCGGAGAGCCGGAGGCACGGGCGGTGGCGTTGGGAGCTCCAGCTCCGGCACCTGCTGAAATGTGGGAGCCCCGGCTGGGGGGAGGCGTTGCCATGACGACCGAAGGGCGGGGTTTCGGCTTAAAGGCGTCCCCCTCCCTGAACACGGGACAAATGCCCTCCCCCCCAGCACACGTGCGCACACCCACTCCGGGGGCTGGCTGGAGGGAGGGGGCATCCTCTGAGCCGTGCCCTCCCCCCACCGCAATCTGTCGCCCGGGCCCGTCTTCCTTCCCCACTAGGGTGCCCCAGTGGGTCCTGTTAGCCCATTGCGACCCCTCTCGGATGTCTGTGTCTCTGACTGTGTCACTCTGTTTCATTCCACAAACTTTGTATTCACTGCTGGGGATCCAGTGGCGACCCCCAGGGGGGCTTGGTGTCTCCCTTTCTCTGATGCCCTCCGAGTCTTGACTTCTCTCTCTGGACCTCTGTGAAAGTGTATGTCTCTGTCTCCCTCTGGGAGCATCTCTTTGTCCCGGTCTCTGTTTCATTCCCTGTGTTCCTGGCTTGCTCTCTGTGTCTCTGTTTCTGTCTCTGGGTAGATCTGCATTCCTTTCCTTGTCTCTGGAAATTTCTGTTTCTATTTCTCTGTTTTCTTCGCTGTGTGTCTCCATCTGTCACTCATCCGGCGACCCTCTGGGGTCTTGGTGTCTCTCTTTCTCATTGGATATCTGTCTCACCGTGAATCAGTCTCCCTGTTTCTCCCTGTATGTCTTATAAATTCTTGTGCTTCCGCCCCCCTAAATCTCTCCCTCTCTATTTGTCTCTCTGGCTCTGTGACTCTCTCTATTTCTCTCGCTCAATCAGGCTGTGACTCTGTGGGTCTCTATCTGTCCCTCTCTCTGTGTCTTTCTCTTTGAAACTCAGTCTCTGTTTGTCTCTCTCCCCGTCTCTCCTCTTCTATGTCTCTCTCTCTGCGGGTCTCTCTAAATCCTTCCTGTCTCTCCCTCTCTCTCTCCCTGTGTCCCTGTCTCTGATCCGCTCTCTGGCTCTGTCAATCTCTCCCTCCGTCGCGGGGGTTTCTCTCAATGTTCGAGTTGCTCCGTCTCCCCCACCCCCATCTTTGTCCCCTTCTCTCCCACTCTCTCTGGCTCTATGAATCTCTCTCTATATCTGGGGGTCTCTCCCTCCCTCCACGTCTCTCTGCGACTCAGTCTCTGTCCTTCTCCCCACGTGTCTCTCTGGCTCTGGAAATCTCTGCGCATCTCTCCGGGTTTGCGAGGGTCTCTCGGAACGCCGGCCTGTCCTTCTCCCTCGCTTTCCCCCCTGCGTCGCTCCAGCAGCGTCTCCGCCTCTCTGGCCGCACTCTGTCCCTCCCTGAGCTGGCGAGCGCTTCCCAGTCCCGCCCTGGGGAGACCCACTCTGTTGCCTAGGGCAACCACGGCCCGCCCGGGGCTGTGAGGTGCAACGCATCCTGGGAGTTGTAGTCTGAGCCCGCGGGCCGCCTGTTCTCGCGACGCGGCCGAGAACTTCCACTCCCGGCGTGCCGCGCGAGGCGGGGCGGGGCGCTGCGGCGGCTGCTGGGACTCCGGGCGCCTGCTACACTTTCTCTGGGAATTTTGGGGGTCGGGTCCGGCTTCCCGAAGCCGAAGGGGAGGTGAGAGATCTGGTTCCTCTCCTAACCCCCCAAACGTGGGGTCCTCCAGCCTTCCAGCCACCTCCAGGCGGCCGCCGTGCCCCAGGGCAGAGGATAGGGGGCGGGGTGGCCTAGGAATCCCGCCGCTCTCTATTCCTGCTCTGCTTGGGTTCTTTCTCGAGTCACCATCGTATCACCTCCGGGTTCTAGAGCTGTTCTCTTGGATGCCTTCCAGGAGGGATGCAAGCATCGGCTGGGGGAGGGAAAGGGGGCCGAGACGCCCTTTGAGGAAGCAGGGATTGGTGTGGGTCAGAATTCTGGGGTGGACACTGCAGAGATCAAAAAGGCTTTTCCCCACCGACAAGGAGTGCGTCTGTTCTGGTTAGCCCTTGCCCCTCTTCCGGAGGGACAGTTCCCTCCCTTACAATCTCTTCCCGATTGCTTTTGCGGGTGTAGGTGCAGGAAATGGGTTGCACGATGCTGGGATTTCCCCGGGGTTATGTCTTTATGTATTTGTGATTCTCCTCAGGCTGGAGCAGGATGACCGTCGGTGGGACAGCGAGATTCGTTATGGGAGTAATTCGTTTGCTCTTTACCGAGGCCTTCTATGCAGCAGGCGTGTCAGGGAGCTGAGAGTGGGATCGTAGGCAGGGTCAGATCCTGAAGGCCTTGAATGCCAGACTGGTATTACCTATAGCCAGGGTGGAGTGGGGTGTGGAAAGATTTGAACAGGGGAGGGCGTGTCAGCCCTGGATGTTGGGAGCATCCCCCTGGGGCCAGGGCGGGCTGGAGGTAAGGATGCTCAAGGAGGTGACTGGGGCAATACCTGAGGTGAAACAAAATGAAACCTGAGCTGTGTCAGGAACCTGGAGAAGGGGGACAGATATAAACAGTATTCAGGAGAAAGAATAGACAGTGTTTGATGAGCGACTGGCTGACAGAGAGGAGACTGACAGACCAAGTGCCCGGGCTCTTAGCCCTAAGAGGTTATTACTGAGATGGGGAACCTTGAGGAGTTGATTTTGGAGTAAAGATGCTGTGCTCAGATTGGGACATTGTGTTTCTGAGGTGCTCGTGGGACTCCAAGGAGGGAGAAATCTTGTTCATTTCTGTCCTAACTACTTCTCCTGTTTTGACAGAGTAATTTGGAAGATGCAGACTCAATTAGTATTTTCTGATGAGGCCAGAGTTGTCTTGGCCCCAGTTCTGCTTCTCCTACCAGACCCAGGAATCTGGACATTGCTGTCTCTCCTGGAGCCCTCCCCAATAATAAAGCAAGCGCAAGTCTTTCTTTTATCTTTATATTAAGGTAAAAAAAAAAAATGAACATTATGGATGTGGGACTGGGGGAGGGGACAAGGCTCTATGATTGGCAGCAGGGGCTGATGGAAACCAGAAGCTCCAGGGAATTAAAAAAAAATAAAATATATATTTATACATTTATATATCACGTTATGTTTGTGAGTCCCAGAAAAGCAGGAAGCAGCAGCAGGAAGCAACTAGCACACAGAAACACACGTGTGTGTGCACCACACACTCGAGCAATACAATTCTCTGGCTATGGCAGCAGCAATCCCCACCCACCCAACCCTCCAACCCCCCCCCCCCCCCAAAAAAAATTGAAAACGTCCCCTTTAAGAATAGAGCTACCCAATAATTTTTGCCCTTGCGACCAGGAAAAAGAAAAGAAAAATACCCAGGCTAACACTGCCTGTAAGGCTGGCAGTGGCCATTTTCTTCTCCTCCCTGCCAAGGCAGGGCATGCTATTTTTAACACTGAGGCTGGAGGGCGACATGACTGCCTCTCCCTCTAATACTTCAGACGATTGTCTCAAGACAATGCAGTTCTTCGCCAGCTCCTTTTTGATACCCAGAGGGTAGCTGGAATGGAAGGTATCCACCCTTTACTTTTAAGATGGGCTCTGGGCAGTGGGTTTTTAGTAAGCGTGGCAAAAATTCTGGAGCCAATCTCAGGGGAGGCTGAGCATCAGGCGAGGCCTAGGGACCCAGGGTCTGTGCTTTAAGCCTCTACCCACTAGAGGAAATGATTGACCTCCAGAGATTTTTTTTTTTAACTTAAAGGGGAGGTGCAGTGTGCACCCCCCTCCATCGGGAGAATGGGGCCCAAACCCTAGCTTCCCACCCCCACCCCTCAAACACAGACACACACACACACCGACTAAGGCACAGCCAGGGCGGGCAGGCATGCTTTGGCAATGAGGCCCCTCGGGAGGCCCAGGGTATGAACAGCTGTGAAGAGGGGTGTGTGGGATGTGGAGCTCAGCACCTTTGGAGGTGGGGCAAGAGAAGAAAGAAGTCTCAGGGCTCCCGAGGAAAACGGGCAGAAGGCAAATGGGAAGAGGTGGTGAGGAAGCACGCAGATGAGAAAACCAACAGGACGCCCGGAAAAGAGCCGAAAAGCAGGACAGGTAGAAAGGAAGACAGCAAAAAAAGAGGCCAACAGGAGGCAAAACAGGATGTGGGCAACCAAACAAAGCAGGAAGGAAAAGAGATGGCAACCTGGAAGGGAGAGAGGGAGGGAAGGAAACAGAAAAGAGAGCGAGATGAACTGAGGAGGAAATGAGCAGGGTGAGAAAGCATGGAGCCAGGAACCGGGCATCATGGGAGAGAACAGGGTATCAGGAGCCCCAGGTCAGAGCCTCAGACCCTGACAAAAACCAGGCGGGCCGAGTACACCAGGTCGGCCACATAGGCCAGCAGGTTGATGGCTGTCAAGATGGCCACGGCCAGGCGGCGGTCCCAATCGCACACATAGTGGGCGTGGCTGGTGCTGCAGTTGTGCTCCCTCGACCGCCGGGGCTGGCCACCATACTTCTCGTCGAACTGGTAGAGTGGCCAGAGGACAAGAGCAGTGGCGTAGAGGAGGACGGAGAGCAGGGCCAGCCCCGACAGGAAGCTGGGGAAGGGGATGGGCAGCATGTTGGTGCAGTCGCCCAGGTTCAGCAGGATGGCCACGGCCGCCAGGATGAAGCAGATGGCATACACGGCCACGCACCACTCCAGGGCCGGCTTGTGCTGGTACAGCTGGGTGCTGCTGATGAAGGCGAAGATGATGCAGGCCACGAAGGTCTCCAGCACCTTGAGCAGCCCTGGCACCGTGGCCATGTAGCCGGTGATCTCGCCGGGCCGGGCCCGGGTCCAGGCCACTTCGGTGGCGTAAGCCACGCAGGCAATGCAGGAGAAGGCGGTGGCGGCGATTGCGTGGTCCCGGGAGCGGCCGTGAGGTAAGAACTGGACGTAGGTGGTGGGGTAGATGATGGAAGACGAGAGGCAGAAGAGGGCAGCATAGCAGGCAAAGGTGATGGGGAAGTTGCGCCAGGAGAGGGGGAAGCGGGCCTGGAGCCCGGCTAACTCCACGATGAGGATGATGAGGGTCACGGCAAAGCAGAAGCACCAGGTGAACATGGACCAGTTACCCATGGGTCCCGTCCAGGCACCCACACTGGCCACCAGCGAGAAGGCCACACAGGTGGAGATCAGCTGCAGCAGGCGCAGGAGGCCCAGGGGCTGGGTCAGTGCCCGAGGGGACCCCACAATGGTTGAGGAGCCCAGGGCTGAGGATGACGTGGTGGTGGTCGTGATGGTCGTGCGGGTTACTGTAACCGGCATGGCTGGGGAGGGGAAAGAAAGTGCCCTAAGAAGGTTCCAAACCCGGGGATCCAGGCCCCCAGCCCTTGCCTCCCCCTGGGGATGAAGGAACGTGGACTCTAGCTGGGGGGGACCCAGGATGTGGGCCTTTCTGTTTTCAAATTGACAGTCCTAGGCCTACACGGATGAGTTGGTCACCCAGGTCCCAGCCCCCTCCTCCCTCTGGACTCAGGTTTCTCACCTCCCATGTCCGAAGCTAGGAATCTAGGCCCCAATCTCTCTCCTTTCCAAGACACTCCTTTCTTCCCTCCGCAACCCACCTACTATAAAACCACATACTTTTCTTCCTACTCTAGACACTCAAAGCTGCCCTCCATCCCCCAGGGTCTCAGCAACCCAGCCACTCAAGACTCTGCTCTAAAGCGTCCCTCTCCCCAGCCTGCCCCCACTGCCCCTGTCGAACAAGAGGCCCTGTCTTCATGAGCTCTTAAAAGCCCATCTCTCAGGGGGCCAGCCCCGTGGTCGAGTGGTTAAATTCGGGCGTTCTGCTTCAGCGGCCCGCATTCTGCTTCAGCGGCCCAGGGTTCCCCAGTTCAGATCCTGGGCGCCAACCTACACACCATTCATCGGGCCATGCTGTGGCGGCATCCATCACAGAAGAACTAGAATGACTTACAACTAGGATATACAACTATGTACTGGGACTTTGGGGAGGAAAAAAAAAACAGAGAAAGATTGGTAACAGACGTTAGCTCAGGACCAATCTTCCTCACCAAAAAAAAAGAAAGAAGAGAGAGAGAAAGCTTTCAACATTAAAACAACCAACCAAACAAAAAAATCCCATCTCTCTACTTCCTCTGTTGCAGTACCCAGGGCTCTGCCTCCAAGCCCCTGGGCCCTCCTCCCTCACCTAATAGGCCTAGGCATTTCTAACCTACAAACATTCAAGACCCCAACCTCCACATGCGTATGTTCTCAGGGACCACATCTGATCTGAGCTTCCAACTTCCCAATCTGTCTCCTCTCACGGAGCAGGTGTCCGCTCCCAGCTCCTGGAAGACCAGGAGCTTCCCCTCCCTTCTGGAAGTGGGCCTTACCTCTCGGCGGCACCCCCCTCCCATGCCCACCCTCCCACCTCAGAGACAGGAGCCTTCGTCCTCAGTCTACCTCCACCTGGGATTTACGTCTTTAGTACTCCAACCCACGGGAAGCTGAGCTTCCTCCTGACTATCCCGCTCCTCCACATGGGGTCCAGCGCCCCTCAGGAACCCAGCCAGCTAGTTCTCCAACTTCCAGGAAAGTCAGCTCCCCAGCTGGACTGTGCAGTGCCCAGGCCCTTTGCACTGAAATCTCTGGGCCTCTCCTGCTCCGTTAAACAGCTTCAGACCTCAGGACTCCGGCCAGGCCCTCAGCCCTGAGCACGCCAGACACCTATACTCTGAAAAATCAGCTTCTTTCTTCCGTCCCTCCGAGACCTTTTTGTCCTAAAGACATTTAGGAATCCAGGGCCCAGCCTCGATTCCTGACCAGGTGTCCAGATCGTGCCTCAGGCCCTAAAATGTCTCATCTCTCAGCTGCTGCCCTTCAACAGCTCAAAAGGCCTCACTCAGCCACAAGGAAACAAAACTTCCTCCTTCTAGTGTGGGACACAGAGGAGGGCAGTCTAACAGGCTTTGAGCTCCTCTGGGGCCCACCATACCTGAACAATAGCTCCCTGAGCACACAGGAGTCCAGTTCCCAGACACATTTCTTCCTCAGATGCACAGGTGTCTGGGCTTCTCCTTGGAACCTAAGCTTCCAGGTCCTTCTCTCAGGATCCAGGAGTCCAGGCCTCTAGTCCCCTCCTCCCTCTGACCCAGGAGTCCAGGCCCCCAGCCCCTCCTCTCTCAGACCTGGGAGTTCAGGCCCCCAGCCCCTCCTCTCTCAGACCTGGGAGTTCAGGCCCCCAGCCCCTCCTCCCTCAGACCCAGGGGTCCAGGCCCCCAGCCTCTCCTCCCTCAGACCTGGGATTCCGGGCCCCCAGCCCGACCTCCCCCAGACCCAGGGGTCCGGACCCACAAGCCCTCCTCCCTCAGACCTGGGAGTCCTGGCCTCCAGCCCACTCACCAGCGGTCTTAGCTGAAGACCCCGATGGAGAAAGGTCCGGCTCTGGAGGCGGATGAGGTCAGACACCTGGAAAAGGCTAGTCAGAGCACGGGGAGGAAGAGAGAACGTCAGCGTCCAGCTCAGACTTGCCTCTGTCCTCCCGGGGCCCAGGAGACGAGCCGGCCCGCCAGGGGCTCGCCCAGAACACCCGCTGAGGCTCTGCAGCCCGGGCGCGACTCCCAGCCCGGACCTAGGGTGGGGTCTGGCCACGAGCCCCGGAGGGGTCCGGGAGGTGACCCCAGGGAAGCCCCGCCCCCTCCCCCTCCTTCCCCAAACAGCGGGGGCGGGAAGGGAGCGACCCGGACGGAAGGCCACGCCCCGCGGGCCGGCGTGGGCGTGGGGGAGCCTAACCCTGCCCGGGTCGCGAGGACCGCGGGCTGCGGGCCGCCGGGCGGGCGGACCCTGGGCGGTGGCTGCGGGGGCGGGCGGCCCCGGCCGGCGCCGTGTCTCCGGGCCTTATAAGGGCTTCAAGTCGGCGCAGCCATCTGGAATGTGACGGGGACCGGGAGGCGGTGCCGGGACCCCCGCCCCGCGCCGGCCTCCAGGATGGCCCGCCCCGCTGGTGGATTTCAGGGGGTGGGGCGGGGGTTGGGAACTGGGACTCCAGGTCCTGGGAGGGGAGGCCTGGAAGTCAGAGTTTCTGAGACCTTCAAAATGTGAGTTCTGGGTGGCTATAAGGATGGGCTGGGAGACTGGAACCCCTCAAGAGGGTCTCTAAGAGCAGAGTGGCTGGGAACCGCCTCGCGGGCGCCCCTTGCCTGGAGCCCGGAAACTGCGCAGCGTATTGGAATCCGGTCCAGACGTGAGGAGCCACACCTCCCACCGCCTCCAGCAAGGCAGGTCTCTCCACCAGGACTGCGCCACCTGGGAGGTGTTACGGCGGAGTCCGCCACCTCCTGCTTCCCCCCACGCCCCTCCAGAACCCGTTAGGAGGAAGTGGAGGCTGGCGGAGGAGGAGGGCGGGGCAGAGCTCCTGAGGTCTCCCGCGGAAGGTGCGTTCGCGCTGAGACCCCGACGGGAGGGGTCCATCGCCACCCTCAGGGACCCCAGCCGTCGCCTGAGGTCAGAGCTCAGGAATGCACTACCAAGGACCAGAAGAGGGAGAAGAAACACCCCTTTGGCTTCTTCGCGAGGCTCAGGACTCCTGGCCACGCCCCAGTCCTCTCCCCACCTCTCTCCGAACGCCATACCCTATTTCTAAACGGACTCAGAATCGCGCCTCTGAAACTCAGCCTCTGCTGTCAACACCCAGGGACGCTGGACTCAGCTTTGCCCTCTCTCGGTCTTAGGACATCCGCTTCCCAGCTCCCTCCTCACTTTGGGACGACAGCTGCTGGATCTCAGTCCCCGGCCTTTCAGAGTCCAAAGTTCGGATTTTGTCCCCTGCATGGGGACGAGGTCAGTAATTCTGAACCTCAGCCACTCTCTTTCCCAAACCCAGGACTCCCTACTCCAAGCTCCTCCCCTCCTGAGGACCTTGATTCCAACCCCATTCAACCCCGACACATAGGAGACCCCATCCCTCTGTGCCCTCAGACCCAGGAGTCCAGGCCCTCAGCCTCTCCTCCTTCAGACCCAGAAGTCCAGGCCCCCAGCCCCTCCTTCCTCAGACCCAGGAGTCCAGGCCCCCCGCCCCTCCTCCATCAGACCAGGAGTCCAGGTCCCAGACCCTCCTCCATCAGACCCAGGAGTCCAGGTCCCAGACCCTCCTCCATCAGGCCAGGAGTCCAGGCCTCTAGCCCCCTCCACCCTCCTCAGACCCAGGAATCCAGGCCTCCAGCCCCTCCTCCCTCAGACCCAAGGAGTCCAGGCCCCCAGCCCCTCCTCCCTCAGACCCAGGAGTCCAGGCCCCAGCCCCTCCTCCCTCAGACCCAGGAGTCCAGGCCCCCAGCCCCTCCTCCATCAGACCCAGGAGTCCAGGCCTCCAGCCCCTCCTCCCTCAGACCCAGGAGTCCAGGCCCCTGGCCCCTCCTCCCTCAGACCCAGGAGTCCAGGCCCCCGGCCCCTCCTCCCTCAGACCCAGGAGTCCAGGTCCCAGCCCCTCCTCCATCAGGCCAGGAGTCCAGGCCTCCAGCCCCTCCTCCCTCAGACCCAGGAATCCAGGCCTCCAGCCCCTCCTCCATCAGACTCAGGAGTCCAGGTCCCAGACCCTCCTCCCTCAGACCCAGGAGTCCAGGCCCCAGCCCCTCCTCCATCAGACCCAGGAGTCCAGGTCCCAGACCCTCCTCCATCAGGCCAGGAGCCCAGGCCTCTAGCCCCCTCCACCCTCCTCAGACCCAGGAATCCAGGACCGCAGTCTCCTGGTCCATCAGACCAGAAGTCCAAGCACCTAGTCCCTTCCTCTCTCAGACCCAAGAATCCGAGTCCCCAGTCTCCTCCCTGAGACCCCGCAGTCTGGGCCCCCAACCCCTCTTCTTTCAGGTGTATGACTTGTATGAGTCCAGGTCCCCAGCCCTTTCCTCTCCAGAACCTGAGTCCTGGCCTAGATCCGGTCTTTCTAGGGACTCAGATAGTCTGAATCCTAGTTCATTCATCCTTCTGCACCCAAGAATCTTGGACCGCTGCTCCCACCCCCTGGGGTCCCCGCAGCCTCACCTCACGGGCTTGTGGTGGCTGCGGCTGAAGCAGAGGCGACAGCTGCGGACTGGAAGGGTCTGAGGCCTGGGTGGGGTTGGCGGGCTGGCGAGTGAGTGCGGGCGGGGCCGGGGGCGGGGCTGGAGACTGGGCGAGAGCACCAGACTCAGCCCGGGGAAGGGACACCCCCGGAGCCAGGGCTATCCCAGCCCCGCCCCGAGGGCGGGGACAAGGAAAGACCACGCCCCCGAGCAATAAATATACAGCGGCCCTCGCGCCCCGCCAGTGGAGGGGGTGGAGGGCTGAGGTCACTGTTGCCTTGGTGACAAAACAGGAAGACACAACAGCTGGCGGAGTGGGGGCTCCTGGGGGCTGCCCTCCCCGACACAGCCCTAACGAAGTCTCTAGGGGAGGCCCGGGAAGGCCGCTGCCGTGGCAACCCGCCTGTTTAGAATTTGTTTAGCACGGAGCCCCCCAGCCCAGGTCCCCACCCCAGTCTCACCTCACTCAATTCTCCCTCTCCCTTCCTTCCCCCTCCGTCCCCTTCTGCTCCAGCCCCCTCTTCCAGGATGGATGAAACCTTGGACATCTGGGTCGCAGCGGGTTGGGGGAATCGGGCCTTTCAATTTATGGGGTCTGTGGGCTAGGGTCTCTGTCTCCTGGGTCCCTGAAAGAGGAAGGAGTTGAAGGTGGCGATCCCTAGGCTTTAAGAGCCTTCTGAGCTGAGGTCCCGGACTCCTGAGTTCCCTAATCCTTATTTACACTGGGACTCGCGGTGTAAGGGACTGGGTGACCGGACCCCTGGGCCCCAGATGTCAGGGTGGATGGAGGCAGGGGAAGAGGGCGAGGGTAGCAGTATTCCTGGGATCTAGGGCAGTAGGAGCTGGGGGCATGGACTCCCGGGTTCCACATGACGCCTAGGCTGGGGGCCCAGATCTTGGCTCAAAAAGCAATCAGAGCTCAGACTCCTGGGTTTTCAGAGCAGATGTGGTTGGAAGCCGAGCCTCCTAGGTCTGGAAGGGAGAGATATTTTTGGCCTGTATTCCTGGCTCCTGGATAAAGGGAGGGGCTCAGAAGCCGAATGAGGACGGGGCTGGGGGCTGGGGGCGCCAGATTCCTGCAAGAGGGGAGGGGCCCAAGGGGCCGGTTTGCCCGGGCCCCAGAGCAGGGAGGGGCTGCGGGGTCCTTTTTTAAGGGCGGCTCTGGGGCCCTGAAACGGATTGATAAAGCCAAGAAGCAAGCGGAAGCTGAAGGTGGGGATGCCGGGCCCGGGGTCGGAGCCGGGCGGGGACCGGGACGCCTGGGTCCCTCCCTGCTGGCCGTGCTCACTCACCGCGCTCTGCAGTCGTCCCTGGCGCGGCCTTGCTCGCCGCGGCCGCTGGGCGGGGCCTGCTGGCGGCTGCGGATGCTTCCCGAAGCTGAGCTAACGGCGCGCTGCCTCCGCTGCTGCCGCTGGGTGCTTTCCAGGCCGACAACTGAGGAGGCTTTGAGGCCGAGCCCCGGGTGGAAGCCGCGCGAGTCGCGCAGGGAGGGGTCCGAAGGGGTCCGGGAGCTCTGTATACCCGGCTGCGTGCCCTGCAGAGGAAGGAGGGGCTGGAGAGGGGCCCTGGACGCTCTGTGCTCTGCAGAAGTGGGCGGTAGGGGTGGGGGTGGGAGGGATGTGGAGCGTGTATGCCCACTTTTGTGTCCCTGCAAAGTGGGTAGGCGCAGATCCTCTCTGCCATTCTGTGCCCTGCATAGAAGGGGTCTCAAGGAGCCCTGCATCAGGACCCATAGCGAGTCAGGACATGGTATTAATTGGAGGTCCCCAGGTTCTATTCACAGACTTCCTTGGACCCCAGTGTAGCCGCATCTCTTCCCGCCTTCCTTCCCAAATCATTCTCTCTCTTCGCCGGACCGTCTAGTCGCACACCTGAGATACCCCAAATAGTCCAGGGGCGGCCTTCACTCACACAGCTTTCTATGTTGTGCTCCCTGGTGGAAGCGTTCCCCCCGTTAGGCGCTAAAACCACAAACCAGCAGAGTTCAGGGTAGCAGGAACAGGAAGCAAACATTTAAAGAGTGAGTCATCGGGTGTGACCTGGAGAAGTGACACCGTGTGGTTCCCCGGGTCTGTATAATCTGTGATCTCGTACGTGCCTACTGGTTCAGAGTGTTTACTCATCCTGTAGGGCCCTGCTCCGACCCCAAAGATGTCCTCTCCAACATGGCACTGTAACCCAGTCTCAAACAGGCCCTGCCTCTGTTCTGGGAGGCTGGCTACGTTGGGGTGATGGGGTACATGGACCCGCCCACTGACTTCCTAATACTGTTTCTTAATCAGAAGCAATATTGTGTGGGTTAACGGGTCGGTGAATAGGACCATTCAGTGCATGCACAGATGCGGCTGTTGGCAGGAGGACGAAAGGGAAGGGAAGCGAGTAACAACCCAGAGTTAATTATTCCAAGGAGGAAACAGTCGTTGCCCAATCCGTGATGGAAGGGGCCCAATGTAATCCTCAGGTGACCAGGTATTTGGCTGGTCTCCCTGAGAAACCGTGCCACACTGGGGGCTCAGCGCCGCTTGCTGCTACCAACAGGTGGGCACTGGTCAGTGACATGGTTGGCTAAGCCTTGATGAGGCATTTAAATGCATGGATAGCCCACCATGGCCACTTTGTTCGTGAGCCTGTTGAGCAAGCATGGGGGAGACTGGGGAAAGACGCTGAAGGAGAGCCACAGAAAGGTCGTCTGCCCTGCAGGGTGGCTTAAAGCATTCTCTGTAACAGAGGTTTTTGAAGGAGAGTTCACCTGGATACGGATTATGAAATGTTTTCCACTCCTGACGCTTCTGACACCAAGTATGTGAGTTTCTTTCTTTTTTTTTTCCCCCCACACCAACAAGCAGTTGTCCATCTCTGGATACTGAGTGTCCAGTGATTCAATGCGATTCTGAATCTGGGTACAGTAATGACCTGCAATTATTGTCAGACCCCACAGGTGAAGGGCTCAGTCCTGCTAGACCGCCCCCACTTCAGACACTAATCACGAGTCCCTGGGCTCCTGGACTTCTGACCCACTGACTCGAAATCGGGGGTTCCCACGACCCCCTCCTCTTGTTCTGTAATTTGCTAGAATGGCTCACAGAATTCAAGAAGGCCCTTTACTCAGTATTACTGGTTTATTACAAAAGATACAACTCAGAAACAACCAAATAGAGGAAAGGATGCATGGACGTGGGGAAGATGCTGTGCCCTCTCCAGGTGCACCACCCTTCCAGCACCTTGATGCTTCTACTGGTGTGGAAGCTCTTTGAACCCCATTATTTAGGGTTTTTATGAAGATTCTATTACGCAGGCATGATTGATTAAACCATTACCCATCGGTGTTGAAGCTCAGTCTTCTCCTCTCAGGAGGTCAGGGGTGGGGTTGAAAGTTCCAATCTTTTAGTCATCTGATTGGCTCCTGTGACAACCAGCCCCCATTCAGAAGTTACATAGGAGCCTGCCAAGAGTCATCTCATTAGCATAAACTCAGGTGTGGTTGAAAGAGGGTTATTATTTTCTTTTATTTTTTTAAAGGTATGCTTTTTGGTGAGGAATATTGGCCCTGAGTTCGCATCTGTTGCCAATCTTCCTCTTTTTTTTTCCTCCCCAAAGCCCCAGTGCGTACTCATATATCCTAGCTGTAAGTCCTTCTAGTTCTCCGTGGGACGCTGCCTCAGCATGGCTTGACGACCGGTGCTAGGTCCAGGCCCAGGATCCAAACCGGCGAACCCTGGGCCGCCAAAGTGGAGCACACGAACTTAACCACTCGGCCACGGGGCCAGCCCACCGAAAGGGGTGTATTATAAATACACTCCTCTCACCCCCATCACCCAGGAAATTACAAGGGTTTCAGGAGCTCAGTGCCAGGAACTGGGGACAAAGACCAAATTAAATATCTTATTCCATCACAGTAACACACAGATCTTTCCATACTGTGGGTCCATTGGAAAGTTTCATTCGTCCATCCATCAGTATTGATGAGCCTCCTACTGAGAAGAAAATAGGCTACTTCCTGCTCTAATGGAGATTTTATCTTATTTGTTGATGGCAAAATGTTCGAGATACAGTAACTGCTTCATTTGGAGGGGACATTCCCACTGTCCTCAGATTATTAAATTCTCAGTAACTTCCCTGACGTGACAGGCTCCCCAGTTTTCAGGAGTTTTTTTCTCACATGTTCTCGCATATGTGTGTCTTTTTATTTTTTAATAAATTTTTCATCACAATTTTTTTTTTTAAGATTGGCCCTGAGCTAACATCTGTTGCCAATCTTTTTTTTTTCTTTTTCTTCTTCTTCTTTCCAAAGCTCCCCAGTACATAGTTGCATATTCTGGTTGTAGGTCCTGGTTCTGGTCCTTCTGGTGCTATGTGGGACGCCGCCTCAGCATGGCTTGATGAGCGGTGCCATATCTGAGCCCAGGATCCAAACCGGCGAATCCAGGCCGCCGAAGCAGAGTGCGTGAACTTAACCACTTGGCCACGGGGCCGGCCCCCATGTGTGTGTCTTAATAAGTCAAGACGGTGTGTCTATCTGCTCCTTCCTGCTTTTTTAGGTCATCAATGCAGTTGACCAGAATGGAATCTATGGGCTATTGAAAGATGGAGTTTCCTGAAGAATAAGCTGTGGAACGGGGTTGAAGAATTCACGTAACCCGGGAGAAGGTGTGACCGTCCTGCGCTCCACCTGTATGAATTTCCTGGGGCTGCTGGAACCAATCATTACAATCTTGGTGCCTCAAAACAACAGAGATTTATTCTCTCACAGTCCTGCAGGCCAGAAGTCTGAAACAGAGGTGTCAGTAGGGCCCCACTCACTTTAAAGGCTCTAGGGGGAAACGAGTTCCTTGCCTCTGCCAGCTTCTGGTGACGGTGGGTGTTCCTGGTCTAGTGGCCTCGACATCCAATCTCTGCCTCCTGTTTTCCTGTCACCTTCGCCTCTGTGTGTGTCTCTGTCTTCTCTTCTGTCTGAAATCTCCATCTCTGTCCAGTTAGGACATTTATCATTGGTTTTAGGGCCCACCTGGGTCACCCAGGATGATTTCCTCTTCACAAGATCCTTAACTTCGTCATATCCGAACAGCCCCTGTTTGCAAATAAGGTCACATTTACAGGTTCCAGGGGTCAGGGTGTGGCCACATCTTGAGGGCTGCTATTCAGCCCACTACACCATCCCCGGTGAAGCCACACTGCTTCTAGATCTTCTGTTTACTGTGCTAGAGGTAAATGGATTGGCCATTCTAGATGCCAAGGGCTGGGTTGGTTTCATCCGGCAAGGAGATCACAATTGCACGGCTGCAATTAGAGTTCCCCTGCTGGCGTCCTGTCTACACAGCAATGAGCCTTGTGGAAGTGGGGAAGAAGGAGGGGGAACAGGATCCCGCGTGTCCAGATCTCACTTTTTCCCAGGGAGGTTGGGTTTCTTGGGATGATGGAGACCTGTGCCTCCAGCACCATGCAGGAGGAAGACTCCTTCTAGACACTGACATTGTCAGTTATCACCACCCTGCTCCATTCTTCTCCGCTCAGGACCTCAGAACCCTTGCTCTGTGTCCTGTGGAACTGTTCCAGAATCAGCAAATTCCCCTATGAAAGCCACTTCGTCGTTAAGTGTTCTTTCTTCCCTGGTCTTCATGGAAATGGATATCCCCCCAGCCTGTTCTCTGGCTATAACACCTTTTTGTTATCTGCGGACTTCCTGGTTATTTACCTTCATTTTCATGTGGTTTCCTGAAATTCTCTAAAGAGCTTCTCAACTGATGTGCCGTGAACAGGTCACAGGTTGGCTGGGAGATGTTGATTCTCTTGGCCCTCAGAGCGACCTGGGTGCCTCTGACTGTGGCAGACTCATCTGTTTACCTCATTGAGCTGTCAGAATATTCTGTTTCTGTTTACCCCATGGTGTGAAAATGTGTGAGAGGCATTGACTTAGAAGACCCTCACACTGACATTACCCTCCACTCCACAGCAGTCATCGATCCACTCAGTTGTCCATGCCTCTCAGGCATCAATCACTTCTCCTTCCATCTCACTTTCTCAGCAACTTTCACTATGACCTTTTCTTAACCTGATAGGAACCCCCCAGTCCATCAGCCCTCTCTTTCCTTCCCTTTCCTCCTTCTTCAGCTACGATTCCCCATCCATCATTTCAATAACACTCTCAGGTTAGGGATTGAACACTCCTTTGCCCTTCTGTCTTTGCATCACCCCAGTCTTGGAGACAAAAAAGCCCATCTAACACGGTTTCTTTTTTTCTGTGTTTGTCCCTAAGCAATTGGACATTCCTGGAGAAAGTCACATTACAGGACAGAGCAGTTCCACCATAAATACATGATCACCAAATTCAAATATACCCTCAACATTGCCCACAATCCCATTGCAATCAACCGGTCAACTCATTCTCATCTCCACAGTGACAAGCACACTATTTTTATCCCCTTCAGTCTGCGACACCCTTTACACCTCCTGCCCCCCATTCTCAGCCTGTGACCTGCCTTCTTTATTTACAGAAATAACAGAAGCTGTCAACTGGGAAGTCCCTCAATTTCCCTATGCTATGACCATAAACCTGACTGTACTTCTAGGACCATTCTCTTCTAACAATAGTGAAGTTGTTCGTCTCATCTCATGCCAATCCTTTTTCTTATTTTTTTGATCCTTAAATACCTCCTTCTCATAATCTCACTATTGCTATTACTCATCTTCTTCTCTTGGGATCCTCAACATCTTCCACTTAAAGAACCTTTCATCAGCTTTTTAAGAAATAATAGATATTTTTAATTGTGGTAAAATACACGTAACATAAAATTTACCTTTTTAACCATTTTTAGGTGTACAGTCCAGTGGCATTAGGTACATTCACACTGGGACCATGTGAAGACGCAGGGAAAAGACAACCATTTACAAGCCAAGGAGAGAGATCTCAGAAGAAACCAACCCTGCCGACACTTTGAAGTTGGATTTCTATCTTCCAGAATTGTGAGAGAATCAATTTCTTTTTGAGCCACCCCATCTGTGGTACTTTATTAATACAGTTTCTTACCGCTTTGGGCAATCTTTTCTCAGTTCTTAACTTTCTGGTCTCTCAAGTAACTGATGCTGTTAGCGTCTCCTTCCAACCTGAAACCCTGTCCTCTAGGATTGTATCACACGTCATTCTCTTGGTTTTCCTTCTGCTCCGTTAGGTTCCCTCTCGCCTTTGCAAGCTCATGCTCCTTTAAATACTAGCGTTCCTCAAGGCTCTTTCCTGGGCCCCTGCTCTTCTTGTGACACACTCTTTTTTTTTTTTTTTAAAAGATTTTATTTTTCCTTTTTCTCCCCAAAGCCCCCCATACATAGTTGTATATTTTAGTTGTGGGTCCTTCTAGTTGTGGCATGTGGGATGCCGCCTCGGCATGGCTTGATGAGCGGTGCCATGTCCACACCCAGGATCTGAACCGGTGAAACCCTGGGTTGCTGAAGCGGAGCGCTCGAATTTAACACTCGGCCATGGGGCCAGCCCCTCTTTTTTTTTTTTTTTTTTTTTTAAACAACCTTGTAAATGCTGTGTAAATCTTTTAATTTCTTTTTCTAGAAGATTGGTCCTGAGCTAACATCTGTTGCCAATCTTCCCTCTTTTTTTTCTCCCCAAAGCCCCAGTACATAGTTTATATCCTAGTTGTGAGTCCTTCTAGTTCATCTATGTGGGACACCACCACAGCGTGGCCTGATGAGCGGTGTGTAGGTCCATGCCCACGATCTGAACCAGCAAACCCCGGCCCACTGAAGCAGAGTTCATGAACTCAACCACGATGCCACTGGGCCGGCAGCCCCTCATGACACACTCTTATGAAGGAATTCCCTACATACCGGCTTCAGGTAGCAGCAATGTGTAAATGACCCAGCATTAGTGAAGATGATAGTTCAGCTGCTACAGTAAAGGTGAAATATCAACAGCCTCAACCAGTGCTGATCAATAGAAAAATAATGTGAGCCACACGTGCAATTTTAAATTTTCTGGTAGCCACATTGAAAAGAAGTCAAAGGAAAGGGTTGAGTTAATTTTAACAACTTATCTTATTTAATCCAGTGTAGTCGTCCATTGCCTAACAATGTTTCTGTCAACAACAGACTACAGATGCAACGGTGGTCCCATTAGATTAGTGCCGTATTGCCTAGGTGTGTAGCAGGCCCTACCATCTAGGTTTGTGTAAGTATCTCTCTGATGTTTGCACAGTGATGAAATTGCCTCGTGACAGGTTTCTCAGAAGGTATCCCAGTTGTTAAGAAACGCATGACTATATATCAAAAATATTATCAACCTGTGACACTAGCCACATTTCAAATACTCAGTAGCCACATGTGGCTAATGTCTACCATATTGGACAATATAAGCGCATACAAGGTAATGGTATGTTTCTGTCTCTTGTAGCAGTCCAAGAGCTAGCAATCCAAGGTTGACGTGATACCTCCACGGTCTCAAGGAGTCATTCTCCCTTGTTGCCCTGTCATCTTCAACAAGGGCTTCCTTTTGGGATCTAACATATGATCCAGGTCATACCACTGTGTTGGCATTGTGGCCAGCAGGAAAAGAATGGTAAGGGGTTGGTGTGTTTCTTTTTAAGTGTGTGATCCTGAAATTGCACGGGTCACTTCTATACATATGCCTTTGCCCAGGACTTAGTTACATGGCCACATATAGCTGTAAGGGAGACCAGGAAATAGAATCTTCAGTGGGGGAAACATATACCCAGATAAATCTTTTATTATAGAGGAAAAAAATTGGGGAAATTACTGGTAACCTCTGCTACAACTCACAGGAATATAGTGCAACCCAGATTTGTCCTCTGAGCTCCAGACATGTGTATCCAGGTGCTCAATTAGCCTCTACTTGGATGTCGCAAAAGCCCAAACTCAATACATCCAAAATTAGCACATGATCTTTGCTCCAAATCCTGGTCCCTTCCAGTGCACCATATCTCACCGGTAAATTTCACCACCCTTCATCCTGTTGTACAAGCCAAAATTCCAAGAGTCATCGTTGATATTGTCATCTCCCATATCTTCCCACGTCCAGCTCAACGCCAGGTCCTGTCACTTTTACCTCCTATATTCTCTCTCAAATTCATCAACTTCTGTACATCTCTGGATTAGTCACCAACTGCTGGGTAATAACTTCCCCCAAACTTAGTGTTTTAAAGGAATGAGATGCTGACACATGCTACAGCATGGATGAACCTTCAGAACATTATGCAGAGTGAAAGAAGCCAGACACAAAAGGACAAATACTGTATGAGTCCACTCATATGAAGCACCCAGTGGTCAAATTCACAGGGACAGAAAGTAGAACGGTAATGACCAGGGGCTGGGGGAGGGGAAATAGGAGTTAGTGTTTACTGGATACAGAGTTTCAGTTTGGGATAATGAGAGAGTTCTGGCCATGTGTAGTGGTGTCGGTTGCGCAAGAATGAGAATGACCTTAGTGACAGTAAATTATACACTCAAAAATGGTTAAAATGGTAAATTTTATGTTACGTGTATTTTACCACAATGGTTAAAAAGAAAAAAAAAAAAAAGAATAGCCTGGCCAATCTTGAAGAGGAATAACAAAGCTCAAAAACTTATGCTACTGGGTATAAAGACTGATTTATGAAGCCAAGTAATTAAGTGAGTGTGATATTGGCACAAAGCTAGACAAATAGAATAATGGAGCAGACTGGAGAGTTCAGAATGGAACAGGAGAAGAAAATGGAAGATAGTTAATACCCTGAGCACCCGCCCTTTTTAAAGAATGATTGAGTGTCATAAATAGAATTATCCAAATATCCCTGGAGTGGACTGTTGGCAGATCCACACTTGCTGGACTGGGTTGGGCTGAAGGAATCCTCACAGGCACCCAGTTCCATATGTCCTCCATGCCTCACAGTGACTGAGAGCATCAATGACCATGACCATCCTCCAAAGGGCATCTCTAGAATTTTCAGTTTCTAAGCAACCCCTCCCCTCTGAGGAGCTTCTCCTGTGCTTAGACCGTCTGTCACCAAAGCCTGTGAATGGATTTCCGCTTCCCTTAGAGCCGGGCTGTCCAATAGAAAAATAGTGGGAGCCGTAAATAGAACTTAAACATTTCTAGTAGCCACATTTTTTTTTTAATTTCATCTTTTTTTTTTTAAAGATTTTATGTTTTTCCTTTTTCTCCCCAAAGCCCCCCGGTACATAGTTGTATATTCTTCGGTGTGGGTCCTTCTAGTTGTGGCATGTGGGACGCTGCCTCAGCGTGGTTTGATGAGCAGTGCCATGTCCGCGCCCAGGATTCGAACCAACGAAACACTGGACCGCCTGCAGCAGAGCGCTTGAACTTAACCACTCAGCCACGGGGCCAGCCCCCACATTTTTAAAAAGTGAAAAGATAGGTGAAGTTAACTTTAAAAGTCTATTATATTTAACCCAAATTATTAATATGTTTTGCATCATATGAAAAAAATTTCTCAATGAGCCCCAGTCGTTGGTCATGAAGAGGACGGTGGCCTGAACTCTCTTTAAAATCTGGCGTGTATTTTGCACTTCCTAATATCTCATTTCAGATGTTAAGTTTTCAAAGGGAACTGCTTACTCTGTAGGTGAAATTCATAAAATACACAGTTAAAAAACTAAATTCACAAGCCCGAGCTATCCAAACATACTAAAAGTTATCTAATAGCTGAGCAAGTATCAGCCTTTAGATTTAAATTAGTTAAATGTAAATAAAATTTAAAATTCAGTTCCTCAGTCTCACTAGCTCCATTTCGGGCTCTCAGCACGGCGACCACATTGCACAGCACAGCCTTGAAGTCCTGAGTTCTCCAGGCTCGGAATGGAACGGTGTCTTGGAGGGGGTCAATCTGTACTAGCATACGGACCGCAGCAGTATTTCACAAAAATAATACATTGTGACCAAGCGCGATTTATTCCAGGAATGCCAGCATGACTCATATTTGGAGACCATTAGTAAAATTTGTCATATTAACAGAGCCAAGTAGGAAAAAAATATGACCATTCCCAATATGCTAAAAGAGTATTTGACAAAATTTAATATCTGTTAATTTTTTTTTTTTTTTTAAAGCAAAACACTGAGGGTCTGGCCCTGTGGCCGAGTGGTTCAGTTCACGCGCTCTGCTTCGGTGGCCCAGGGTTTCGTCAGCTCGGATCCTGGGCGAGGACATGGCACCGCTCATCAGGCCATGCTGAGCCAGCATCCCACATAGCAGATCCTGAAGGACCCACAACTGGAATATACAGCTATGTACTGGGGGACTTTGGGGAGAAGAAGAAGAAGAAAAAAAAGAAGATTGGCAACAGATGTTAGCTCAGGTACCAATCTTTAAAAAAAAAAGAAAAAGAAAAGAAAAACACTGAATAAATAGGAAGTTATAGTTCCTGAAGCTGTTAGCCATCTGTGACTCTCCAGGCCTCCTTCTCTGGGAAGGGATTTCTCTGGTCCCTGGTGACAGGGCTGGTGTCTAAGGCCCCTACTTCTCAGCGCGCTCTTTGCTCTTTGCAGGAATTCAGCATATATAAACACCGTAGACAATGTCTGATATTTTGGGGTCTTCCTAATATCTAAACCCCCAACTTATTTTGGGAGGGGGTAATTCCCCACTGTGGGCACAAGGAGGGAGCTGGCTTCTGACTTATTGGGAAGACTAAAGGAGCTAGACCTGCCTTCTTCCTACTCCCTGGAAGGCGGGCATAGGCCATTGAAGGCTTCCCCCTGGGACTTCGAATTAGGCAGGAAAGAGGTAAGGACAGAGGAAAATTAAGAGGGCAGCAGCAAGGGGAAAAAGACATCATTGGTCAAGCGTTGAGTGGGGCGTGTCCAGTGGATCTGGCGGCTGAGGCGGCTTCCCACCCCAGCTGTGGTCGGAACATTCTCTCCGCGGCCTCTTCTTGGCTTCCCGCCACATTCCCGAGCCTGGGTCCCCAGATTTCCCATGTGTTCTGTGATGGACTCAGTGTCCTTCCGGTAAGTTCCTCCTCTGCTTCTGAGATCCAAAAGTGATGTCTGTCATTTGCAAACCAGAGCACGATAGGTAGGCGCTGTCACGGCCCTGGTGCTGGAGACTCAGGAATTCCCCTTCACGAGGCCTGAGAGAAGGTTTCATGCCCAGGAGACAATTTTCCTTTTCTTTGAGAGGCAGATTGGATGAACAGATGGCGACTCTCGTCGTCCTCAAGCAAAATAGACTGAAGGCTTCAGTTTGGAAGTCGTAGGCTGTATTTTTGAGGGAACGAGGAAGGAAATCTATTTGATTTGTAAAACTCCTCTGCCAAATGCACTTATCCGATTGGAAGTAAATCAAGACTCCATCTATAGGGGGCTAGATAAATAAACCGCAGTACCTCCAGATAATGCAACAATGTGCATATCTAAAAAAAAAAAAAAAGAACGAGAAAGCTCTCTTTACCTAAATGGAAAATTTTCCAGGGTATTGTCTCAAGTGAAAAAGGCAAGATGCAGAATAGTGTATGAGGATGAAACATTTTGTGTGAGAAAATATAAAAATAAGAATAGGTAGGGGCTGGCCCAGTGGCATAGTGGTTAAGTTTGTGGGCTCTGCTTCAGCAGCCAGGGCTTTGCCAGTTTGGATCCCTGGTATGGACCTAGACATGGCTTATGAAGCCATGCTGTGGCAGTGTCCCACATACAAAATAGAAGAAGATTGGCACAGATGTTAGCTCAGTGACAATCCTCCTCAAGCAAAAAGAGGAAGATTGGCAACAGATGTTAGCTCGGGGCCAAACTTCCTCACCAAAAAAAAAAAAAAGGGTAAGAATAGGTATTCCTATTTTATTATGTTTGTTTGCCTAAACACTGGAAGAATACACTAGAGACTCATAAAAGTGGTGACCTCTAAGGTAGGGCAAAATGTGAGATGTAGAGTACAGGTGTGGAAATGAAATTTCATGTATATATTTAAATTTTTAATTTTAAACATTAATGCATTATTTATTTAAAATTATATCTATGTTTAGATTTTGTGACTCAATGCATGTAAAATACTTAGAACGATGGCTTCATGCCAGTACATGCTAATTATACACTATATAATATATACTAAAATTATATAAAATATGCAATGGAAAGTTCTGGACAGATACAGAAGAACTTGGTTCAGATCAGAAGGGAAGAAGAACTGGGCAATTGGAGCACTGGTATGGATGAGAGACTTACTTTCACTATCCACCCTTCTTTTTGTATTTTCTGAATCTTCTACCATGGCAAATATATTACCAAGTCAAAACACATAAGTATGCATGTATTTTAACGAGCTATTTATAATTTGCCAGGCAAGGAGCCTTATGATGACAAATGAATGCAGATGCCTTTTCCTACCGAGCTCTGAGGGAGCCGATCACTGGGCAAATGTCGCAATTCCCTTTCACAGACTGAAATAGATAAGATCACAGACACAGAGTCTGAAGGCTTGAAGGCCAAGATGAATTCATCCCAGTGTCTGTGATCTACACGCATGGGATTTATCCCACACCTATTGTGGGGTATCAAGGTTCTGCGAGCCAGAGTGTGGCCAGGGGACTGGGGTCACCTCCAGGATGGCCACCTAGCTAGGATAACCTCTGCATGCCCTCTGGGATCTAGCCTGGGGCCCAGGACACAGGAGACTTCGGTAAAAATACCTCAATTCGGGGAATCGAGGGCTGACCCCAGGCTTTCACCGCGTGTGGTCTCTTTCTTTCCTTTGTCTTTTTTTTAAAGATTGGCACCCAAGCTAACATCCATTGCCAATCTTTCTTTTTCTCCCCAAAGCCCCCCAGTACATAGGTGTATATTCTAGTTGTGGTCCCTTTGGTGGTGCTATGTGGGCTCCCACCTCGGCATGGCCTGATGAGCGGTGCCATGTCCTCACCCAAGATCTGAACCCGCGAAACCCTGGGGCGCCAAAGTGGAGCACACGAACTTAACCACTTAGCCACAGGGCCAGTCTCTCTAAAGCTGTAGTCAACAGGCTAGACCAGTGAAAACACAAAGAAACAGATCAAGATGGTCTGCGGAGCTGGGCCCAGTGGGGGCCCATCCACGTTATGTTGCCCTCTAGACGACCGGGAGGGTAAAAATGCGTTCATCGTAGGCGTGGAAGGGGGACATTTCTCTCCCTTCTTTCTCACACATTCAGAGTGAGTGCTGCGTGGCGTGTTAAGCACAGGGGACACAGCAAGTGAACAAGACAGACAGGATCACTCTTACTCTGCACGTATATTCAAGAAGGAGGCAACGAATAAGCAGGCACATACACAGTTGTTGATGAGCAGCGAAATAAAAGGGTACGGAGGATATTGAGGCTCTGTTGACACCAAGTGGTCAGAGAAGGGCCTTTTGAGGGGGTGACATTTGAGCTGAGACCTGAAGGATCAGGAGGAACCAGAGAGTCTAAAGAAGGCTGAACATTCCAGACCCTGGAAGGAGCAAATGCCCCGAGAGAGAGGGATGGAACGGCTGTGTTTGTGGAAGAGCAAGAAGGATAACGTGGCTGAACCCAGAGAGACAGAGGAACTGTGGTGGGAGAGGAGGCCGATAACGTGGGATCGTCACAAAGACAGATACATAGACGGATGTAGCAGGATACAGATTTCAGAAACAGATACACACATAGAAAGCCACTTGATTTATGAACAAAGGCACAGCATGATGCTGAGGAGAGAGGATGGATTGTGTGTATGTGTGTGTGTGTGTGTGTATGTGTGTGTTGTGTTGAGCCAATGATGCCTACCCCACACCACACCCCCAAATAAATTTCTAGATGGTTCTTAAGTCTAACTATGAATGATAAAACCATACATATTCAAGAATAAGACATTGGGGGCCGGCCCCGTGGTCGAGTGGTTAAGTTTGCACACTCCACTTTGGCAGCCCAGGGTTTCACCGGTTCAGATCCTGGGCACGGACATAGCACTGCTCATCAGGCCATGCTGAGATGGTGTCCCACATGCCACAACTAGAAGGACCCACAACTACAATATACAACATGTACTGGAGGGCTTTGGAGAGAAGAAGGAAAAAGAAAAAAAAGAAAAAGAATAAGACATTGGAAAACATCGTCAGGATCCTGGGATTGGTGACGATTTCTTAAACAGGATGCAGAAGCATTGTGTACGTGGAAAGTGGTAAACTGGGCTATCTTGAA